CAGAGAATTCAGTTGATTTTGTGTCATCTTTGCACTTTACATAAGTTGGACTTCCTGATTAGATCCGGTATCCCACCTCACCTTTTTCTGCCCTTGATTTTTTGTGCTTAAATTCCTATATTGTATTTGAGTTGCAAATCCGACAATAAGTAAGACATACTTCATCCAACGCAATCAACTCATAGAAGGACCCATTTCCGTCAACCCCAAAGGCTCCACTGCCTTCAGCTTCACCAACAGGCTCCTTCAATTGACTATTCCCTTGAAGGGGCACTAGTAGTATTACTACGCAACTTGGCTATTGAGCAAGGTCTTTGCAATGGCACCAGAGTTGTGATTGAAGCAATTAGTCCTAAGGCAATCAGTGGGCAGATTTTGACAGGTCCATTCAAAAATACTGAGGTCCTAATTCCCAAGATCACACTCTACCATGAAGGTGATTCAAATGTAAAGGTTTCATTTTATCAATATCAATTTCCAGTAGCATTAGCTTTTTCTATGACTATGAATAAATGCCAGGGCCAAAGTACAAGTCACATGTTGTTGGTAATGAGGGACCAGGTCTTTGCTCATTACGTGGGTCTGTACAAAACATCTTTCTGACTCGGGTAGGCGGTCAGCTAAGCATCCTCAATGTTGTAGTTAAAATATATATTTAAACATACACCTGAATAGATTGTTTTTCTTGAATTGGTCATATTCCCGGTGTTGAAATGGGAGAGATGTTTATCACCCGAAATACGGGTGCAGCCAAGCCTGCTCAAGCTTGTAGTTAAAGTAATATCTAGGCATAGTGATTAATGATTTGTGTTGAGTTAATTTTGTAGCTTACTTAAATTGAATTGAGTTAGGCCTTAGTTGAGTTTGAGTTATGGGAATTATATAGGCGGCAAAGCCTCCCTTAGACACTAGTATCAAATAAGCGATAAACAAGCATTTTACTTTTTTGCTTATTTGGATTGAATTCTGAAGACCCAGATTAAGAAAATTAGAATCAAAAAAGAAGACCTCAGCACTGTGAAAGAATCTCCAGGAACTGCTGCCAGTTGACATGGAGAAACTCTCTTCAAATTTGATATGTCACTCACATGTTACTCCACCATTACCTCAGCCATACTTCAATGCAAAGTTATTGTGCAGAAATTCTTGCTTTGGAGTAGATTAAAGTATGGCAGAAGTTACATTGGGAGTAACCTGCATGTCAGATACCACCAGTTTGGTGAGTTTTTTCATAGTGCAGTGAAAGATATATATAATGTGAATGAAACAGAAACAAATTTACATGGATAAAAAAGTATTGTTGATCAAATACCAGGGAGATCTTTTGTAAGAGTAGGCATATTTTTAAATTACAAACTTTAGTAAAAAAGTACATTGAACAAGATGGAAGGATAAAAAATAGGGGCTTGGAAAAACGACTCCTAAAAATTGGTCGACGACTCCCGTTTTGGTCGGGAGGTCGTCGGACGGGAGTCGTTCTTCCAATTCCCCCAAAAAAAGGGGAGTCGTTGTCCTAATTTCAATGGTGATTTTTTAATTTTTTTTATTAAAAAAATGGGAGTCGCCCGCCTAAAGGGCGGGAGTCGTCGTACCAATTTAGCCAAATATTTTTTATTTTTTTTCATTAAAAAAGTTGGGAGTCGTCAGGCCAATTACCCAAGACGGAAAGGGAGTCGATGGCCCAATTGTCCACCGGACTTTTTTTTTTGTCTCGCAGGAGTCGTTAGAAAATACCTAGGAGTCGGCTGGGGAGAAGAAACCTTGTTTCTTCTCCCACGCAGGAGTTGCTGCTCCACATTCATTGACTGTAGGGAGGAAGATTCAAAATCCAATGACCCACTACTAGTTTTTTTTCTGCCTGTGTCTTTTTTTAGTTTTTATTTTTTTTTCCTCTGTCCTTTTTTACCCTGTGTTTTTTTCTTATATTTCTCATCAATTGAATTCTTTTATCCCTGTTTTTTTTCTTGCATTTCTCATTGTTTTTTTGTTTACATTTCTCAACATCTCATCAATTTATTTCAATTATTTCTTGAATTTGTTTTTCTCAATGAATCTAATTTTTAATCATTGATAAAGTGCCTTTGGGGCGGGGCCCCAGTGGCTGAACTTTTTTTTGAGTTTTTAGGGTTGCTAGAGGTCGACAACTCCTGTTTTGAGTTGGACGACTCCCGTTTTTTTAATGCAGAAAAAAGGTTAAAATATTGAATTGGGGCGCCGACTCCCGCCCTTTAGGCGGACGACTCCCAATTTTTTTAATGAAAAAAAAAAATAAAAAATATTTGGCTAAATTGGTACGACGACTCCCGCCCTTTAGGCGGGCGACTCCCATTTTTTTAATAAAAAAAAATAAAAAATCGCCATTGAAATTAGGGCGACGACTCCCCTTATTTTTGGGGGAATTGGAAGAACGACTCCCGTCCGACGACTTCCCGACCAAAACGGGAGTCGTCGACCAATTTTTAGGAGTCGTTTTTCCAAGCCCCAAAAAATATATCTAAACTTGAAGTAACAAATTTTCCCCAGAAACTTTTAGAATTGAAAGATGTGCTCCAAATCAACTATTAAATATCAATCATGAGGGATATTCTACTATAAATTGAGCAATACATAAATTTCACTAAGTTTCAACTCCCTATGGCATGGTATCCATTGCAAGGGAAACAATAGCTACACAGAACCTTGAAAGATTATAGGGTCTTGGAAAAACAACTCACAGACCCTTGGAAAAAAACTCCCAAGACAATTGACAGAGTACAGTCCTTGGGAGTTGTTTTTGCACTTCCCCCAGCAGGTTTTGGAGTTCCCCCCCCCCAATTCTTTTTTTATTGGGGGGGGGGGGGGGGTTAGTGTACTAAGCCCTCATCTTCAAGTGAGAGGTTTGGTAATTGCCTCCCTGCTGCCCATACCACAATCACATTGACTGTAAGGATTTCCTTATGCTTGATGAAGCACAAATACCTCCTTGATGTGAGTAAATGAGGTATAAATCCATTGACCAGGATGATTTACTGCCCTTCAATGAGTTAGCTGTACCCCTTCCACCAGAAGTAACAATCAGATTTTCCTTTTTGACCTTTTTGATCTACAAAACCAATTTACCACTATCAAAAAAGCACTCCCCTTCCTGAAAATCCCAAGAAAACCCAAGTCGTTTTATCTGTAAACATTCAAGCAGGGCAAGTGAAGGTTTTAGTCCTCATGTTGAGTTTTCCTCTTTTCTGGTCTACTCTTCCCCAAATCGCTCCCTCCTTTCCATTTATTTCCCTCTTTCTTCTTTCTTGAGTCTTCTTGATCTAGACTGAACTATAGTCAACTCCAGCTAGTTTTATGTTGAAATCGTATGCACTTTGTAGTCTAATTAGAACTCTCTTCTGCAATTTTATCAATAACTCTAGACATTGTGATTGACTTCTTTCTTTTGCTAGTTCACTATTTGATTCTTTAAAAATTGGTTAACAAGAATGAACGCCTCTTGTTATTTGTGATTCAAAACATTTTTTCTTGACTAACTCATCTGACATTATTAAAAGAGAATGAGAAGTTTTGTATAGTTTGTTACTTCCAAGGACTTCTTTTATCTTCTCTCAGTTTTTATTCAATATTCTTTTTTATTCATTTTCTCTCAAACCACTTTTTGAACACTTTTACTTAGTCTACTTAAGTTAGCCTACTTACAGTTAATAAAAAACTATCGGTTCTTTACACTCCTTTCTGTGAACCTTTCCCAAAAAAGAGTCCTTTCCTTTTTTGGCCCTCATCCTCTTACACGCCTGAGTCTTAAATTTCAACACCTCACGGTCACTTTTGTGCTCAGCAAGAGAATTACTTGCCCCACCATTCCTCAGGCTTAACAACAAATCTGAGTGCTACACCATCAGATTTCAAATCTCTTAAGCCAATGTATATGTGCAAAGTTTGATCAGTTTTGAAAAAACCTGAAGAGAGCATCCAAAGTTCCAGGACCTAATTGACCAGGAGGAAATATCCTGTTCAATGAGGAACAGCTACCCCATTGCAGACTGGAAGGGAAAAATTTTCAGGGAGATAAATTCCAAACTTCCCACTTTCAGAGGAGGTTCTGGTCCTCCAACTCCCCTAAGAAAGGACAATTGGCAGGACAACACCAAAAGCCACAGGGGAGGATTGGTACATTGGAAAAATCAAATTTCAGTCATTCTTGTTATCCAAAAGTTGCAATTCATGCACAATGTCAACAATTATCAAATTATGCAGCTCAAATTTGAATATTTATTGGTGGACTTTCTGTCCATTCTGTAGCCCCTAAAAACCAAATTTGTAGCTGCTTGAATTGGATTACTCTGCAAAATCCAACTTCAGTGGGCTAAATCTGATTCTGTAGGGTCTACCAATATCAATAGGAATTTCTCCATTGGGGGTACTCAAATTTGGACCATAAATGCATAAATAAATTTTTGTTCCTGAATGGATTGAGACATATATCATAATGTGAGAAGTTTGGTGAAAAGAAAAATTGCCAATTTATGTTTATACATTTATGCACCAACTTTGAACACCACATGGCACAATTTTATGTCAATTATACTTTTTTTTTTGGAAAATCAGAAAGCTTTGATGCATAGTGGAGGACTTCCTGTTGGATCTGGGACCCTTGCAGATGTTAATATAGACCCAAAAAGTCTAGAATTTTGCTGGCAAATATGGCTTTTGAGGCTCTAAATTGCTTCTGGGAGACGCACAGATATTGATGGGAAGTTGTCCAGTCCCAAGTAAAAATCAGCTACAAGAAGACTAAATCTCTCCTTGGCTAATTTGAGAAGAAGAGCCTGTTTCAAGCTCTTTTCAATCAGGTTTCCTCAGTCTCAAACAAATTCCCACAAGTATAATTACCTGCAACAATTATTTCATTAAGCCTGATCATGGTTTTCAGATGGTCTCATCTACAAGTGTTCTCAAAAGGTATTGCAAAGGAATGCGTGGTTGTTGGTGGAAGTGTGTTTTTTCTAGCTGGCTCAGTGATTGAGTGGATAGTGGAAGAGTCAGCATGCCATTTTACTTGGTAGCAAACAGGACTGCTGCATTTACGCGAATCATACGGTTCACAGTACAAAGGCCCCAATTTGAATGGGTGCCCAGCATCTTCTAGATGGCGGCCATTTCAATCTCCGCATCGATGATCGGGGTTGAGAGATCGCCATGGCAGACAGTGGACCTCCGAAAATCTAGCCCAAGGGAGTTTGTAAATTCCTTTACAGATAAGACAGTGCAAATCAGTACAGAGGGTGGAAGAAACTTGAAAACCATTGGGGCTGCGCTGGCTGATGTTAGCTGATACGAGTCGTTGTCGGTGTCCACGAGTTGGCTAAATTGGCTTCACCGAGCGATGCGCTGCCCAGAATCCACTTGGCAGGAATCAGAATTTCTCTCTCAGCTCAGATGGCTCTACTACATACGCGAAAATCATGTAGGAATCTTCGCCAAGATTCTCGCCACAAAAGAAGCAACGAGGAGCCAATCCCGGTCCAACTTTGAATACCCATTGTTCACTCCATCAGAAGTGCTCCGTTCAGCAGGATTGCAGTTTTTTTTCCACTTGCAAAGGCGCCGGCGGCCGAGAAGGCTTCGCCGATCAAGATTCTAGATCGCTCTGCGCAACTGCGCCCACCATTAAAGCAAACTTTTTCAAAACTTGATTCGTGTGAGGCAAGTAATCTCTCCCGAAGACTTGTCATATCCCAGTACCTCATTCCGTTGATCTGCTCGCTTTTCAAGAATCTGCCGTGGTTCGTAGCCAGCACGTATGCAGGTGCGGTGAACTGAACCGCACGATTAAACACGCAAGCCAAATATAAGCCGGTGTCTATCGACGGTGTGTGACGGCGTATACCACTCGAGCACCCCAAGTTGGTGGAACTATGAGCAGACAAGTCAGCGATGCATGAAGGGCGGTAAGACTACATATGCTGTGAAACTCGCCGGCAACAACCTGCACATCTCCAGTTCTTTGAGGCCGATTTCTGATTTGACAATGCCAACGTCACATGTGTCTCTATGACTTTGACGAGTCCAGCCTTGACCGTTTGGTGGCAAGCACCTTCCAAGGATTCTAAAAATTTGAGCTATCGTTTCTTTTCAATCAAGCATGCCAAGGGAGGACTCTGCGTGACCCTTTTGCCGGAAGAAAGTTAATTCTCATCATGACTTGCGAAAAACATCGTCTATCTTTGCCGCCATGACCTTAGTTAGGTGATTGTTGGTACCGTTGCGGTTTACAAAAGGCATAGGTATATTTCCAAGCGCTGCCTGCCACACGCCACACCAACAAATAAGGATCACACCAAATATTTCTCTCCACTTTTTCAACTGAAATTAATATGTGCTTGTGTGGTTCATTTCCTTGTTCTTTCACATCGGCCAAAACATTTCTGGTGCGTTATTTGCAACATGTGTGGGTTTGTTTCTACCAAGAGGCAGAGGAAATGCTTTAACGTCACTACTACATGTGCCTTTCCCTAACCTTGCGATGCCCCTATATTTCGGCGTATGACTATCCTTCCACACTTTGAATCATATTCATCGTGAGCTCAAACATACGCCAACATGACTGAAAATCTGACATCAAGAGCATTGAGGCTCAAATTTCATCAGTGATGCTATATTCCGTCACCCGTCATCAAAGCCCATATGAAACTAGATAACTCAAAGATAAGACAGCGATATAAAAACCTGTTCCCTTTTGTGCTGAAAGGTTGAGCATCACTAAGGTAACGGTTCTCCGACTCTAGCATCTCCTCATAAATAATAAAGAGTATTCCGATATTTTGATTCAGCATTTCTTCAGAGGCCTGTTTCAACCCGGAATGTTTCCTATGATCCCAATGTTTCCTGTGATCCTAGCTACGTTGGCGTTTGCTCCGATGCTGCTTGGTTCACCTTATAGTGTAACTCTAGGGCAAACTTTGGCCCGGCATCGTGAAGGCAGCCTAAAGAGTTTATCTTATCCACCTGAAGACGAACCAGGGCCAGAGCCTCTTCCTGCTTGGGTGAAACGCTATCAAAAGGCCAAATCTCGAGGCCTCATTCCTTCCATCAGGCCTGCAGTCCTAATCAACGGCGTTCCCGAATACCCTTTTTACTCCGATTCAACAGTCTCAAACCCGAGGAAAGTTTGCAGCTGGACTGTTTCTAAATGTAATTCGCGCAGAGAGTGAGTTTTTCCATTTAATCTATCTGTTGCATTCGGAATAGTAAAGCCAATTTTTCTGATCATCTTAATTCGTAGTATCGTAAACGCACCTCGCGGGACGATGGGAATTTCGTTCGATGACGGCCCCCAACCTCCGACTTCTGAGCTTTTATCTTTCTTGAAGGAGAATGAGCAGAAAGCAACTCATTTTATGATTGGTTCCAGGATCCATCAGAACCCAAGCTTACTTGTTGAGACTGTTCACAAGAACCACGATCACATTGCGGTACATACTTGGTCTCGTGAGTCTCTTCCTTTTGCTAGAATTTTCGTCGATATAAAGTAACCTTCAAGTGGCTGACTGGCGTGGCATCTTTCTATCAACAAGACCCTTGTAAGTAGATGTTGAGGATTACATCAAGACAAGGCAGATACCAATCTAATCTTATTAAGTGCGGTACAGATATGACAACGATGACAGATGAGCAGATCTTGGGTGAGATTGGATGGACGATGCAAATTATCAATGATCTAACCGGTTTGGTTCCCGCATTTTGGAGACCACCATACGGTATATATGTCTTCCAGAAATTTGAGCCAGCTTTGATTGATTCTACTAGAAAATTAAGCTCATCATGCTATTGATTCTTTAAACCAGGTGACATCGATAATCGAGTGCGAGCGATCAGTCGACATGTTTTTGGCCTCAAGACGGTAATGTGGTCTGTGGTAAGCTCGGCTGATAACTTGAGATGTGACCGGGAAAGAAAGCACAGTTAATAGGTATCATAATTTGACAAATATCACACCTGGTCTTTCCGGTTTAGGATCCAAATGATTGGTGTCTATCTGATGAATCTTCACCAGGATCTGAGTGCACACCCGGTTCAGGCCCACAAAATATCAATCAACTCATCCACGATCTGAAACATCGCATACGTCATGGTGTTCATGGAGATTCTCCAAACAGACGATTTCCCAAGCACGGCATCATAAGCTTGGAGCACGAATTATCTTGGAGAACAGTCCAGAGCTTCATGCAGAGCTACCCCTTGGCGAAATCTCTCGGTTGGGACACTAGGTCGATACCAGATCTTTTTGGGTCAGTACAATGTTTGCCAGCGTGCTAAGGAATTTCTTCATGGTCAAAGAGCAGCGAAAAAAAGATAACCTAGGTCTCAAACAAAATTTTGTCAATACCTGTTTGTTTTTGTTAAATTCCAGGCTGGATTGGTATCAAAAGCCGGTGTCGAATTTCACTCATACCGGAATTCTGCCCATACTGAAGAAGAAGCCATTCACGGCAAACCACACATCTAACATCAACATTACGACTCCTTCCCAAGCTGATCTGCTGAATCACAGAAATGAAACCGCGCCGATAGTTTTACCTCACTCCCACGAACTAAACTCATCCCTTGCCCGTTTCCCAATTCGAAACGAGGGCCATGGACTTCAGCCAAGTGGAATTGCGGTAACCCTGGCCTCTTTAATTTTCTTCTCGACTGGCTTTCAACTAATCTATTGACTGAGGCATTTAACACACGAAATATAGCTTTCAATTCCTTATTGGACGTTTTATGTGTATTTTAAATTTTTTGCTGTATTTATTAGAAATTTTATAATCGATTAAGGGTGGTTCGAGACACATAGTAATGAGTCTGACTGGGGATTAGGGCCCAGGTTGAATATATCAGTTTGCTTCTTCACTTACTGCTTGAAAGCATTTGGCTTCAAACCACATTTTTCTCTGCACTTTTCTGATCCCCATTGAGATAAGCAAAGGCCGAAATGAAAACCGTGTTTGGTATAGTAGAATTTATTTTTGGCGAAGATTATTGACTCAACATCAGATCATGTATTCTTCTTCAAGAATGGTTCTGATATACAGAATCCGCATGATGCAAAGTTGTTTTGATTGCTCACACATGGCCACCTCAGAGGTATGCTAAAATGACGCTGTCCAGAAATCACATTTCCGGTTACTGACCACCAAACCTGACAAGCCTTAATCTGAGGGGAAATTTGAGTAGTTCAATGTGGTTGGGCTTACTAACCCAAGCTGCGAAGCATCTGACCTGGACTTAACCTAGTGCAGACTTAATTACCCTAAGCTGAATGCTCTAAATTTAATGCGGATTATAGTCTTGTGTTCAGCTGATTGTTTCACATTGGCATGCCATTCTTTTTACTTTATTTACAAATTAGCTTGTCTTGATATGCTAACTTAACCAAGTCCCTCCTTTTTTCGGAGGGGGGGCGCCGTCCCGCAGGGACCCTCCGAAGGTCGATATGCTTGATTGGTTTCATCACATCCAAGATCCAACTTGAATAAATCCCATTTTCAATCTTGATTGTCTTTGTGTATCACTTGCACTGTTTATTCGAGTCTGTGGACAACGTACAGGTCACAGTTTCAATGACTGAGCCTGACTAAAATGTTGACGTACCTCCAAAGGGGAAGCTTTTCAGAGAAGGTCCAATTCCAGTGGTAATCTCCTGTTGTTTGCAAGGCTGAAGGGTGAAACTACAACGGAGTCAAATTAAGGATCCCCAGCTTGGTCCGCAGCCTTGGCCATAGTCTGCTGCGTGAACCCCACTCGACTGTACAGTGGTTTTTAGTCAGACCCCACTGGACTCGACCAACTCCGCAAAGGGCCCCCTCTCCAGCTGGGAAGGACGAAAAATTTACATCCACCTCCTTCATATCCTCAGTTCATTATACATACTTCAGCACTCTCCCCATTCAACTCAAAGAGGTGTTTCCTATCCTATCCTACCGCCCAGAGACACGGTCAAGCTCACTTGACTCGGCCACACAGCTCGATGTCGCCCCTTCCGCCAACCTCAGTCCAAGTGGCTGATACCACCGTCACTGCCGGCGACCTACTGGTGGGACAACATCTTCGTCGCGTCATACGACTACATGAGCCCTCGCGCACTCGGGCATGGATCGCGACGATGTTTGAAGCGGATCCGGATGGCGAGATCGAACAAGTGGCACTCTGGGGCATGTATCGCATGCAGTTCGAACCCCATCATGTGGAGGATGCCGTGGCCCCTATCCCACCTTTGGCGGTTGCCACCGAAGTTATCACCGTCATGGAAAGCGTATTCAGGCCAGATAGTTATGTTGCTGCCGATGGTCAGAAACGATACGTCATCAGGGGCCTCAAGTTAAGACCCGCAATCGAACGTGATGCTGTCCTCGTGCGTTTTCTCAGCCCCAGCGCCTGTTTTTTTTTTTTTTAATCTTTATTTTTCAAACAAAAACCCGGTCCCAACAACGTTTGACTGATAGTAAAAATACATCTGGTCGATTTCTATTCAGGATGACATGTTCCGAGCACCTGACCCTACCCCATCCGCGCCTGCACCATCGACTCCTCATCATCTGGCCAATGCCGTCAATAGCCTCAATACGCCCTCCTCTTCTGCCGCTCTAGGCAACAATGTGACTCATCATCAAGTTCATCAAGCTCAACCAGCCCCACCACAGCTTCCGGTCGCACGATCGGCAGACTTACTCGATGAGGCCGATATACTGAAAATCGTTTCCTTTCCGGAACCTTATCGAACGCGTTTATGGATTGCCTCGCTATTTGAACCTGATCCTACAAGCAATGCCGGCCCCGGTGGTGGTGGGGTTGAGCAAGTCACTCTTTGGCAACTCTATCAAAAACAACTCACACAATACGTTGTCGAAGGTGCGCCCAGCGATAAATTTGTGCCTCCTTTGGCTCCTGCTACCGAGGTCATCAAAGCCGTACAAGATGTCTTCCCTGAAGGAAGAGTTGTGGTCAGACTAGAAGATGGTAAAACGCACTACATGATTATTGGAATCAAGCTCCGTCCAAGCAACTTTCGATCACCTGCCCTTGTTGAGTCTTGTTAAATTGTCCATCTTTGCAACCACCATTTCCCCCCATGAGTTCTGCTATGCTTACTCATACATTCCCCTTCCTCTGTCAACTCACCCTACAGAAAAGTTTACTGAGTATCACAGCCACCAAGATACCCAACAATGTTACTCACAACGGATCAATCGGAAACTCCTCTCAAACTGATCCTGTGGCTCCCCAATTGGTCTCCAAAGTTGACTCACTCGTCAAAACCGTCGAGGAACTCCAAAATGTGATCAAGAAGCAAGAATCAACAATTAAACAAGAGCTGTGAGTTGATTTCTGGATATGCATACCGTCCCTTATAAAATCCCCTTTCATGATCGAATCTTGTGTTAGCGCAGTCTTCGTTATTTATATTGTTCAACACTAATTGATGCATTTTGTTTCTCTTTCCATGATCTTTTCTTGCCAAACAGGGCATGGAGTGCCACCAGACAAATCAATCTCCGCACTTCGGATAGTAACACCTCGATATTACGTCCGCTTTCTATTGCCCCTCCTCACGGTGCCCCAGCATTTCCTGTTGATTTCCCCAAGACCGTGGAAGAAGCTCAACGACTTGATTGTAAGCAAAGACGTCACATCTTTCCACGAGAGACTGAAAGGGAAACTGATCTACTACATGTTTTTTTTTTTTGGTTCAACTTTTCAGATACACAATGTGTCGCACTCCTAGAAAGATATGGACAGTATAATCTGATCATTGAAGGAAACGAGGAGAGAACTCGGACTGGCTTATTAGAATTCATTGGCTGTGTTCCTCAAGAGCTCTCGTTAGCCGAAAACTACGTCTCAAATGTCGGCCCAAATGTCAACTCTATGGTCTGATCTACTTAACACATAAAATACATATATCCACTTTCTCTCCTCCTCTCCTAATCTCTCCTCCAGAATCGAAAATTTGTATACAGTCGAACGATCTTTTCTTTCCTCTCTTTTTCTTCCTCTCTCTCTCTCTTTTTGTTTTGGTTTGCATGGCTTAATTAAAAATAAGATCGTTTGGGATTTCTTTGTTTTTTCTAACAACAAAACAAAGAAAGGCAGGATGCTTCCTTCACAGCTCAAATGATATTTGCATTCCTGTCACTTGATCCCCTGCAAGCCTTGAAAGCCTGAGATGCCAGAACACCTAAAAGTTTTCAAAACCTTTTTATGTGGAACAAATAGCTGATTCCTTGGATTGGAAACACACACCCTCCATGGTACAGGGTGATGTAATCTTGGATTGTGGTTTGAATCCTGTTTGTTAACAGATGTTTTGCCAAGCCTACTTGCCATAGCTGGGTATACTACCTGTTCTTTGATACCAAAGCCGACTTTTCAAGCCCACAGACCATGATTCAATCACGCTTGTCTGCATTGGCATAACCATATTAACTCTGCACTCAAGACGAGTTGTGAGTTTCTCAATGAGTGTATTTTGTTGTTTCATCTTATACTTTTCCACTCACCAATGGTCTCCATTGATCTGCATCCCAGGTTAAGTGATTCTTAGAATTAAAGTTGAATTTCTGATTTGGCCACCAATTATCAACTTCATAGAGCTGACATGTGTTAAGTTTTCAGATGTAGCCAAATGTTTAAAATAGTGGTACTTTAACTTAGTTAAGGAAATCATGATGCAATAGTAAATATGCAGATGAGTTCAATCTGAAACCCAACACAGGATCTGTGTCACTGTGGTCATCATTAATTTTAACTTTTTTGATTTTTAATGATAGTGGGTTCAGTTTTGTCCTAGTCACTGTGAGAAGGGACAGTTCCCAAGCCGATGACGATGTATTGTGGGGTGGTATGACTATTACCACTGCCACCTATGACGACCTGTCACAAATGCCCTCCTGTCACCAGGCAAGACAGCCGGTGTGGACCCACCATATCTAGAGTCTCGAGCCTCTCCTCAATCGGAGTCTTGGGAACCGACAGACTCTTAATGACCATCAAACAACCCTCATCAAAAGCTCACAACGGTCAACAGCTTGAAACAAAAAGAATTCCAAACATAAAGAAGACTCACAGTAAGAATTTCTAAAAGGAAACAACAGCAGGATGGATGAAGAGTATGTGCCATTCTACTTTCTGACCAGCTTCAAGTTGACATTGCCCGATGGATTGTGCCCAATGACGTCTGTTTTCTGTATTTATATAGGTACGACTACGTTGTCTTAGGCACCGGCTTGACGGAATGCATTTTGTCCGGTTTGCTTTCCGTCGATGGAAAGAAAGTATTACACATGGACAGGTGAGCTGACCATTCCGAGGCCTGATATTTCCGTACAACGCTAATCTCACAAAGTGCTTCGGTTCTCCTCAATATCCAGGAATGACTACTATGGTGCAGAATCTGCTTCTCTGAATCTCACCCAGCTCTATCGAAAGTTCCGCCCCGGCCAAGAGCCGCCCGCCGAGTTAGGTCGAGACAGGGATTGGGCTATTGATCTGGTCCCCAAAGTCGGTTTTCCTCACCGACGTTTATTTTATCATGTACATACCATGATCTTTCTAACATATGATTAATTATTGATTCTTCTTTTAGTTCATGATGACCAACGGAGAGCTCACTAATATCCTAGTGCACACTGACGTCACCCGTTACCTCGAATTCAAACAGGCAAGTGTCTCCCCTGCTCTTCTTGTGGATTGTGATCTCGATTTACTAACAATGGCTCATTCTCTCCTCACATAGATTGCTGGCTCGTATGTACTTGCAGCTGGCAAAGTGGCCAAGGTACCTTCCAGTGAAGTCGAGGCAGTTACATCTCCTCTCATGGGGATCTTTGAAAAAAGAAGGGCGAAGAAGTTCTTGGAATGGGTAGCTAACTACAATGTTAGCGATCCATCTACCCATCAAGGTCAGCTCTCCTCTTACTTTGTGGCAATTGATAAAGCAAGTAGATCGTTGTTTTTGATCGAGGCAAACATACGCACAGGTATCTCCATGGAGAACACAACGATGCAAGAGGTTTACGCCAAGTTTTCTCTGGAATCGGCAACCCAAGATTTCATTGGACATGCATTAGCTCTTCATTCCGATGAATCATACAAGACCCGGCCCGTCAAGGAAACACATGAGCGCATCATGCTTTATACCAAGTCTCTTGCTCGGTACGGCAAGTCGCCATACATCTACCCTCTGTACGGCTTGGGTGAACTTCCTCAGGGATTCGCCAGACTGTCCGCCATCTATGGGGGAACGTATATGCTTGACAAGCCAATCGACGAGATCATTTACGACAGTGAAGGCAAGGTCTCGGGCGTAAGGAGTGGTTCAGAGACCGTGAAGGCAAAAAAAGTCATCGGTGATCCGAGTTACTTCTTGGGCGGTAATGGAGAGAAGGTCGTTGAGCAGGGCAAAGTAGTCCGTTCAATCTGCTTGCTCAAACACCCTGTCCCTCACACAGATGACAGCGATTCTTTGCAACTGGTTGTTCCTCAAGCTCAAGTTGGTCGAAAACATGGTGAGTGATTTCATTTCAAGGTCTTGGAACCAGTGTATCCGAGTTAAAAGACGATTTGCTAAGATTACACGTTTATGACTGCAATCAGATATCTACATCGCCGCAATTTCCTCAACCCACAATGTTTGTGCTAAGGATTACTATGTGGCAATTGTTTCGACTATCGTTGAAACTTCGACTCCTGAGCTCGAGCTAGATGCAGCTTACAAACTTATTGGCCCCATCCACGACAAGTCAGTACAGAGCAATCTCGAAATCAAGAGAGACGTTTAGAGCTGACCCATGTATTCAAATCCGCATACCAACAGATTTGTAACTGTCAGTCCGATCTACGCTCCAGCAGCTTCCGGGCAACAGGACAACGTGTTCATTACTCGGTCCTATGATGCCACCAGTCATTTCGAGTCAGTTTTTTATTCTTTTTTATCTCAACATCAAAAGAAGAAAATGGAGGATTGAGCTTAAAATTCTCTTAATTATGTCTTGTCTCAGAACTGTCACTGACGATGTCAAAGACGTATGGCGCCGAGCTGTGGGTGGAGAAATCGTGCTCAAGAAGCGCGAAGCAGGTAAGCATTGTAGTTTCTTTTTTCGCCATCTCAACCGTGGGACTATCATTTTGACGAGTTGTGTTTTTTTGTTGCTCTTCAGGTGATGGAGGTCTTGAAGCCCAAGCATAACCAACATCTACCATGGTTTATCTATTGGTGTTTTGTTTAATTCTTCTCAACATTCAAAAAGACAACAGAAACAAAAATCCTTATGCCTGTTGTGTCCACTAGATTCATGCCTTGGCAAGTTTTGTTTCAGTGGTAACAGTGCAAACTGGCAAAGAATAGAAGCAGGAAAAATCCTAAGCAGTTGCTCACTGTTGTTTGTTGTTTGCTATTTGCTTTTTTTCTTTCCTTTCCTTCCCCACCTTGTCCTACTCCCCTTGATGTTTTGCTAGATTATAGCCACTCAGAAATCAGTTTTTTTTTGTTTGTTTGTTTGTGTTCATGAGAATAATTGAATCCATCAGGTTTTAGACAATCTATATTGTTCTGTAGATCTAATCCTGATTGATGTTTTTCTTTTCTTCAACTATGTAATATGTAGTTGCAGATCCAATCTCACTGTAATTAAAAACTTTCAACTTTAAAGGTGGCTTAGTTGAACGTGTCTACTGCTAGCCTTGGCAAGTCAAATTCCTAAGGGATTGTCTGCTGGTCTTGTCACTAAAACCACCTCACTGTGGCTGTTCTGCACATGAGTTTAATTGGACTTGCTGTGAGTGATCATTTATGTTTACATGGAAAGAGACACTGTTTACATCCCTCCAAAAATCAGAGGGACTTGCCAAAAAGTAACTTGGTTCAGTCAAGTCTTCTTTTGAAAGCCCAACATTTTCATTGTGAGATGTGCAGGAACATTCAGAAATTCAATTGAAGTAGTATCCTCATTGCAACACCTCTGGTGCCCCAGTTCCTAGACCCACGTGATGAAATGAGGTGCGTGGGATCCAAATGATAGCAACAAATTGCAGAGTTCATAATAAGCAGATTTGCGATTTTGTTTTCTTAAAAGAACAAGGTGATTGAATGATTTGGAGAGTGAACGATACAAAGAGAAACTCTACAATTTCCAAACCGAATCTCCATGATCAGTAGTGCTAGCTGATTGAGTCGGATCAGGTATAGGAGGTCTAGGAGCGGGTTTGAAGGCGGCACAGAGAGGGGTGACGGTAGCGAAGCCTCTATTCAAAGCCCAGGCGTCTGAGCCCTCGAGGAGGCCGGGTGCGTTAGGATCAATGAGAGCGCTGATGTCGGGCTTGAAGACGAATTCGAGAGGGCCATGGAGTGGCTTGGAGATCTTCGGATTCGAGCCGCAGGGGTCGTTGGAGTGGAGGTCTTGGAGATGGCTCGCCGCTTCGTCTATCTCCGCCGGCTGCGTCGGCTCCGACTTCGATCCATCCGTGGCTGGTAGGAAGAGTCGCGCGTATCGGGTGCGCGATTCGGTCGTCCACATCACCTTCGGTTCGTTTAGAATCGCTGGCACTAACTGAAAGAAAAGAAAAAAAAAAGTTGTTCAACTAGTTAAAACCCTCACACCAAAGAAAAGTACAGCAAAATTGATGAGAGACAAAATGGTAACCTACTGGAATGTTGACACTGTAAAGATCCGGGTAATTTGGATCTCCGGGCTGGCCAAACCCAGTTTTCCAGAGCTCTCGAATGATCTTGACTGCCAGTTGATTGGCTGCTTTCAGCAACCCATCTGAGATCGGTCGCTCGAAGATTCCATATGATAATGCGATTGCTCGATGATTGGATAATGCCGCGTCCATGGCTGCTCTATACTTGTCAATATCAATCGTGATTATTCAATAATAATAAAAGTATTATTATTATTTTATTATTATAAAATTCATATATTTTTTTTAAAAGATATTTGATCAGTTTGATTCGAATGCTTACCCAACCGTACCCGAGGAAAGACTGAAAGCACTACTGGTATTTCTACCATAATTTGGGCCGGAGATGACGAGATCGATTTGGGAAGGGAAGAGGTTAAAGAGGCCCAAATTTGAACAACTAGCCGGAGTTCCTGAGACCAATTTCCACGGGTTATCTGGTAGAGCAGTAGGACCGGTACTCGAAGGATCTGTTGACTTTGTTCGAGTTGATGGATCATAATCTACCACAGTGAGCTTGTTCTTGATCAGATATGACTTTCCGATCCATGATGCCTGGGAGTCTGGGATGACGACCTTCAACTTCGAGCGTTCGGAGCCCAAGAATTCGGCGATCAATAGCTCCGAAAACGAATAGATGAATGGCGATTCGTCTTCTGAACATGGCCCGTCATCATTGGTGACTAACTTAAAATCATCATCAATTTCCCCCCCTCAGCAAAAAATAATTGCAAGTAATGCTCTGAACAGCTGACTTACGCAATACCGTTGGCACTTCTGGGCAGCCTCGTGTTGTGGTAGTAGACATTGGACAGTTCTTCCTGGGAAGTCTCTTGACCGGTCATCCAACTCGCCCTCTTCTCTTGGCCACACTAGGAATGTCACAGATTCCTGACAGGTGCAAAACGTGACATCCCACGATCTCCAAGTGTCACCACACATGAAGCATCACACGTGGATTTACAATCATGATCATCTTGTAGTGTGCATGAAGACCTCTTCCTTGGCAATCAGGCTGATGATGAGGCGATAGAAAACCAGAAGGGATGGATGGGGTGTGTATGGCAGTAATATTACTACTAGTATACTAGTTACCCAAACTCCTTCAGGAAACAACTTTGATTTGAAAAACACACCATGTTTGACCAAGTGATGCAGTGCTATGGGTTGAATGCAAGTGAGAGCATGTAGCTATGTATACGAGACAGCTTGATTGAACGTGGAAAGAAAAAAGAAACAAAAAATCATTCAGGGAAGTGTGGGTGAGACTTCTTTTAAAATGACCCCAAGCAAGATCCTTAAGTGCTCTAGCTCTAGGACCGCCGTGTATGTAGACTTGAGCGCTAAGAGGAAGGAATTGGGAGTTAGAAAGTCCAATTATTTAGGTGATCCATTATACATCAAGACCATCCTCCGACTTCCGCTCCTTCCACACCAATGTGCAATCCCGGCAGTCTGGAAGGTATCAAAAGGTGCGTATTTAAGTCTCTGTGAGAAGCTTGACTTGAAATTAAAGAAAGACTCACAAGATCTGCGATCGTTTTCTGCTGAGAAGGCACAAGTATAGAAGAAGTCGAAGTTACTTGTGAGGCCGGCTTCGCCCCCCCAGACCGCTGTAAAGGAAGGTTGCAGTTTTAATTATAGGTGGTGCTGAAGTGACCGGTCTGAAAATCGGCAGGTTTGACCAACAATACCATCAACTTACCCACTGTTTGCTTCTGATAGTCAGCATGCATCGACACTGTTCTGGTAACTGTTCTGCCTTCTGCAGCGGGCTCCCCGTGCTGAGCATCTCGTTGACAATTGTGCCAGGTCATCTGAGAAACTTGGTTGTGAATTCAGTGCACACACGTATCAGTACAAGAAAAAAAAGATCAAGACATCATGCTTATAGGAATCGGATCAAATTTCTCTTCTCACAAGGGTGCTGCTTAGGGTCACTACTGGGTCCCTCTCCCGAGTTACACTTATCCTTGTCACACTGATAATTTTCCCGGTCGGACGTTCCGCACACTGTGGATACATACATTACATAGTCGAGGATGGACTTGTTAGATGTTTTTTTTGGCCAGTAGAATAAGAAACGAGAATCAAGAGGGCTTTGGGCCAAGTTTGAGCTTACGCATCGTGCCAGGGGGACCGTTATAATTGATATCGATGAACTGCCCGCATTGTGGCCAGCCACCACTCCTCGGCAGAAGACTGGATCGGGCCTTGGAAAGGTGGACAGAGGAAGTAACCAGGGTAATCACCAGATAGGCAGTGTACGCTCTTGGTTTCGAAGCTTTCGTCTTGGACATCTTTGGTTGAACGGCAGTGATGGAAGTTCAAGGAGGATGAGGGCCGGTGCAGACTGGCCAAACGGGCTGGGTGCTAGTGTACCCTATTTTACTTTTCTGGATTTCCAAAATTTTCCATCCAACACACCAATCAGACAGCAAATTCCATGGAAACTGTACACACTGTGCCTCAACAGATGTTGCCTGCAACCAATGGAGCGAAGCATCCACATTGAATACACTGCAGAGGCGCCGTCCGACCGAGCACCGTCTCAAGTGCGTCCGCACACCAAACAGCTCGGAGGTGGAATAGGAATCTTGGTATTCAACCACGCCTGTTGAGCGGGGACCTCACTATGTATGTGCTCTTTCACTGCTTGCTTCTGATGTGCTGTGTACATATGAGAAACGAGTGAAACCATGTAGTAGCAAAAAGTCTCTTTTGACTCATGAAGATGTGATTTTGTTTTAAAGAAATAGTTATTGGTTATGCTCATTTTCCACAGCCCACCAAATTAGGCAACCAATTTTGCTATACAAAAAAACCTGTCAGCACCTCCAAGACATCTTTCAAAGAGTCCAAAAGGGTCTGTTGATTATCGTGTATCTCAAAACAGCATGATGATACTGGAATTGTCTGAGAAAAACTCTCTGGCAACCATTATTGACATGGTTGAATGGGACACGTGCTTTGGTTAGGTGAATCATAGGTCAGTGGAGATTTTATTGTCATTCGACCAATACCGAAACCTACTACCCAAGATGTGTGGGGCTGCAGACTTCTGTATGTATGCATATGCTTCTAATGTCTCTCTATCTCTTTAGGTACACAAAATCTGTTAAGCATGACAATATCAGAAATTTTAATTTGGATTAGCTCTCAAGCTGCCTTCGCCGATATTGCACAAGATCTTCAATGCTGATCATCTTTAAATTCCACTGGCTCGCAAACTGTGCGCAATCGTCGCGACGGGCCATCGAGCCCAAAGGGCAATCCGGCTTCACCAGCTCACATATAAGACCTGCCGCGGGTAGTCCAGCTAGTCTGCAAAGGTCTGCATCATACCCCCGGTACAAAAAAAGTAAGTATGTGTGACCTTTGCATGGAGGGGAGCAGAAGTGATTCAGAAATGCGGTGAGAGATGAAAACTGACCAATCGCTGCTTCCGTGTGCCCTCTTCTAGTCAAAACCCCACCTTCTCTAGCTCGTAGAGGAACCATGTGTCCCGGCCGAGTGAAGTCCTCAGGTCGACTTGATGGGTCACTTAGTTTGGAGGCAGTCAACGCCCTGTCATGGGCGGAGATTCCGGTTGCGATATCTAAGAAATCCGGCGAAACAAAAAAGAAGCAAACTAAGCTGGGTTGAAGTAATTACTTTTCTTGATGTCTTACCGTCTGGTCTGATGGACATCTGTACTCAACTGTGCTTGTAGTCAACTGTGTGAGTATATGCGGTTTTGTGCTTCTCCGTATTGGTTTCGATCATCAAGGGGATTTCAAGTTGGTCCAGCCGCTCACCGGGAAGAGCGATGCAGACATACCCGCTAGAAACAAACGACTATGAGTATCCGAGATGAGGTCCCGATCCGACGGTGATACATAACACAGATTAGAATTTATGCGGGAAAAAAAACAAAGGAATTACGAAGGCGGGATTGGCGGAGGAGAACTTTGGATGGGATGAATGAATTTAGAGGATGAACGTCTTACCTAGAATGCTTGATAATCCAGGCCATCATCTCTGTCGTGATCTTGGCCGCCGCAACGACCAGATCTCCCTCGTTCTCCCGCTCGAGATCGTCGACGACCACTAGACATTCCCCGTTCCGGAAGCTTTCGAGGGCTTCCTCGATCGTGTTGAGCTTGCATGAGCTTGAGGCTTGGTCGGCTGGTGAGGAGGCCATTGGCTGGATGTGGTGGGTGTCGGGACTTGCTCCGTCGCCGAAAAATTAATGCGGCGGGGTTGGGGCAGCCGGGGGCTTCCCGGGTAAACCCCGTCTGGGACATTCACTTGAGGCCGCAATGGCACTTGGCACAGCGCTGTTTTTATCTGAAAGACTGTCAAGAAAGAAGCGTATGAAGTTGATGTACAACCTCCTTTTCCTTACTCGTATATGCATTGGTGTCATTAATCACCCCTTTCAGTCACTAATCTACAACAGATTGACTATCATCCTTTTGCCTTGATAATTAAGAGTCACTAATACTATTGCATCTGAAGATATCATCCATCACATGTTCATCAACTCAATCTCATTGCTAAAATTGATGAATACATCTTTTTTTTGGGAGGGGACAAGACATTCACAGAACATCTCACCTCCATGAGACAAATACATATCCCATGGATTTTTAATTAGATGCAGCCTTAAGATGTTTTTGTAGCCAATGATTAATTTGATTCTATGCACCCCCTAAGGAAAATGAGGAACTTGACAGTAACTCGTATTAGAGATGCCACTCCGGAAATGAAGGCAGTGTCATAATGTCAATGATGGTGATTTGTATTTCAAGAGGTATATTTTGATATTTAATTGAAATTAGTTTTTCAAGTTCAGATAACAATACATACAAGAAGAAAGTAGAAGAGTTATGATACAATTTTATTCTATCCTTCAGGAATTGGCCTTGCTGTTCTTCAAGTAGCAGAAATCTCGCGGCAGAGGATGAGGTGGATTCAAAAAGTAACTGAAAAGTGGCAGGTCGAATTGAGTATGATGGGGCTCCACAACTTAAAACAATTATCACTAGACTCACGTAGGAATTTGTAACTTCAATCGTGGTCCCACACCGCCCTGAACGGTCAGCGACAGAAGGAGTATGATTATCTGCGTTCCTCCATCCAAGGCCTTGCAAACAGATTCAACATAAGCTTTCAAACACAAGGAGATTAGGTCCAAAATAAAAGAAACTCACAGCTGATAAAACGTAATTATATTTATAAAACCTTAGAAGGATCATTATTCTCAGTGCTGATGTTTGGGGAAATGCACATTTACGAAATTTATCGTCTCTTGTATCTCATAACTTACCACTTTGGGTAATATCTGCGAGCCCACAGCTGGGATGCCAAACCGACGAGAATGTTCATCGTCCGACCAGCAGATACACCTAAGCAGTTAACGCAAAGCTCATCAGCTACCCGGAGAGTTTTTTTTTTGGTCACGAGAGCATACCTAAGCTGCCCAAGGCGACAAACCCCATCACAATTGGAATGTTAAGATCCTTGATATATCGATGAGGCCATAGCTTGAATAGCAGGTAAAATGGTATAGGTAGACACAATCCACAGCCCAGAGCTAACGGAACCGAGACCTGTGCGTCTGGATTTCAGTATGCTGGCTGCCTTGAAATCAAAATACCACGGATGATTGGCTCACGTATCTCCCTCCCCACGTGTAGAGGTCATGTGAAAATTTCCCCCAGCTTTTTATCATAAATAGTTTCATGCAGGGTAAGTTAATTTGTATCAATCACGCAGGGTGAGAAAATCACAGATTTTTCTTACGCAATAGCACTGGCGCCATAATTTTGAACAATTGTACCGGAATAGATGCCGTCTCCGTTCGGCAGTAGCAGAGCTTCCCTTTGACTGCTCAGAAGGCCTTCAAGAACAAAGTAATTGACGATCACACCAACGAACCTATTTCAATTCAAAGCGACAATCAGTTGATGGGTCCGGTTCACAAGTGTTGTTTGAAATTCTTACATTCCAGTTGCTTGAGCGGTAGCCACTGAGATCTATAGATGGGCATTCACAGGTAAGATTTCAACATCTTGTCATTTGAGCATACTGGATCTGAGAAGTAAACAGCTTACCGGAGGCATGTGAGTATACTGCCCCAGCTTCATTTCCTGTGTTGCAGAACTTTTAAGATTCCATAAAACAGATTGACATGAAAAGCAAACTACACTCACTGACATTGCGCTGAGGGCTTGTGAAGTAGGCGCAGAGCTATATCATGAAGAAAGACGAAATGATCAGCGCTAGCTTAGGAAATAGTGTCGATAAAACCTAACCTATAACTGTAAGCGTGGTCGTTAGCACCTCTAACATATTCTTAGTATTGCCAAGAAGTAAGACTTACTTGGAAAACCACATGTTACCCATCACGTTGTCACGAAAAATTAACCCTCCTATCATTTGGCAGACCCCATTCAGTGGTAAGGTGTAGCCTGAAATAGCGCATATGAATCCCATCGAAAGTCTATGATATTGATGATGGTTAGCATCAGCTTTCAAGAGCTACCATGATCAATTTTCTTACGTAAGAATTCCCGATAAACCGATTGATATCAGCAGGCTGAACGGTGTTATTATATTCTCTTTGTAGCATAGGAAGAATGCCCAAACTGTCGCGCTGCCAAGGCAAGCGAGTGATGCCCTAAAAAATACAAGTTGAAGGTTATGGTGGCGATCATCAAAGAGTACTATCGATGAAAAGCTTAGGAGCATTTGGCCTTACCACACTGGAAAATCCTTGTAAGATGCTTGAACCAACAGTCGATGAGGATCTTTTTCCTTATCGTTTGTGGTTCTACTTTTGAACGCTGTGCGTATCAAAGGCCATTGCCAGAGCAAAATGTGTGTGATCGATGAGGAGACCGCGAGTGATTGAAATATCTGGGTGAGAACGTTAGTCGCCGTGTAGATTGGTAGGCTGATTTGATTTTGGTCGAGCTTGGTGATATTCTTAGTGACCTGCTTGATAGGATACAGAGTGCCGTTTTCTTGGAAAAGCGATACTGAGAGGAACGGGAATTCTTCCTCTTGGCCAAAGCCTACAAAAGTGTGGAAGTTAGGTTCAGCGACGGCCTCTCTCATGACAGCGGTTGGATTAAATCCGCACCAAACCACGAAAAGCTATAAGCAGGCCAAAATATGAGGGCTGTGATGATGACCGACAGCAGTTGAAGCGCCTTTTACAAGAAAAAAGATAGATGAGGGGTACTTCAAGTCAGCAATCAGTGACTCTAAGCTGTCTCGGTATGATCTGGAATCGCACCTGAGCAAACAGGGGTGTGGCTAATGGGCTGCCAGCTCCAACTATATTCCAATCGAAAGACAGCTCGAAGAATCCCAGACCTTCGAACGGAGCAACACCCCCAAACAAGCTGGTAATCAACGTGCTAGCGGGAAGGACGAGGCAGGGGAAGCTGACGCCTTGTAGGGCTGGCATCAGGTAGGTTGGTATAATTTCATCTGCACCCCAAACGATTCAATCGCGTAAAAAAGGTATAAAGATGAGAGGCTTGATATTTCTCTTGGTTGCTATACATTCGAACTCACATAAACTTATTCCTGCGAACACTTTATGGAATAGTGAAATCTGCTTTTTTGGGTATTCCCCCGTTCCAGAAACACCATAAAACAGGGCTGCTGACGAGAGAATGTGCCTTTTGAAAGGGCAATTACCGAGCCATAATTATTGATACCATCAGCTCAGAGATTATATGATCGGAATTGTGATTACTCACGGAAAAATTGTAGCTGATGAGTGGACTAATACGGGAGCAATAAGGCTTTTGCAATGAGAATTGACGGGATTAGCTTCGCGTTAGTTTTACGGAGTGAACTGATGTTCTCGGCACAAGCTTACTATCCCCATCCATAGCCCACCATTGAGGTACTAAGAAGAATTCCCATCGACCGCAGTGGAGTTGATTTTTGGTCAAAATATAGATCTTCGGTTGCCAGCATCTACATCATAAGCGCATGAGAATGATTTCGATGAGCTCGAATCCAAGTGTAGGGACAGAAATGTCCAGCCTACCACGATGGAATATGCAACATTACGCGCAGCCGTGGAGATGACTGAAGAATATACGGTTTCTTTCTGCTCAGTTGAAAAAATCCTATGAGTTAGTGGCATGTGCTTATCTAGAAACGAATGATTACTTGACGCCTACAAGACTAAAAGCCCCCGGATTCCACCATTTGGGTCCAGGTATGAGTGCTAATATGCGGCCAAAAAACATGCACATGATCTATAAATCGACGAAACCACCTGTCAGTGATCATTAAGAAATACAGCCAGAGTTTACAAATGAGAGCTAGCCAACCTGAAGGAAAACGGGCGCAAGATAAACCATGACAGGTTTGAAGATGAAAAGCTAGCACGAAAAAAAAAGAAAAGATGAGTGATATGTTAATCTCGAGACTCGAGAATGTTAGATGATTTTGGAACTAACCAGCCCCACGGCAGAACCAATGATACCCATGATGATGCCTGTCAAACTAGACCTGATGGTTATAGATAGCTCCGCGGGATCATCTTGGAGAGGGAACAAGGTCGCTTCATCGGTGACTGAGGCAGGTGGATCTAATACCACAAACTCGTCGGTGGTTTCGGGAGTTCTGGCTAGGTAAAAGCTTGGTCTCTTTTCCCTAGTATCCCTTATCTCCGGAACACATTCCAAGGATTTGGGTCGATGGGCAGGGATTTTGGGCACCGAGGTCAGCTCGCCGAATGAGATCCTCCCAGTGGTATGTCGTCTTTGGCTTCTTTCACTCAGTGTGGATGGCGGAAGGTAAGATAACCGATGAGTCCGAATGGCTGATTGAGATTTCATGAGATCTGGAAGGTCGGTTAGCTTGTCATCGTCGTCACTGCCCATTATGCTTGAAGCTGATGGATGACTGGGCGAGTTGAAGGAATGTTGACTGCAGTTTTCAAGGCAAGTAGGTGTCGAGATTGTATCCAACAGCTTGCATAAGCTCTCTGAGTGTGTTCCCGACTTGAATGCTCCACAATGAAGAATTGAAAGAAGCCTTATAGCGATTGAGTCTACACGTGGATTATTGCGCCTCTGGGTATGAGACGAACTGATAATGGCTATCGGAGATGAGATGATGGACACAAGAACGATGGCCTTTGGTTAATTTTACACAACACTCTGGTGTCGTGATGCTCCTCCAAAATGACGATATGGCACACAGATGTACACATCCATGAGGCTAGAGGGACCAGTGCTAAGACGTATTGACAAATAAGTAAATATGTGTGCAGCAAGCGGCGACAGATGATCAGTCGAGGATGCGCTGGACAACTTGAACTTTTTTTGAATGAGGACGCTCCGACTAGTCACTAAACCATGCGTACATAGAAGGTGTTGGACCTTGGAGTTGAGGACCGAGGTTGGTCGGCAACCGGCTAAAATTGCGCGTCGACAGTAGTGCACATTCTTCCCGAGCCGGGCTCGTGGAGCGAGAGTTCATACCAAAACCTGACCGAGTGCCTCTCTCCAGCTCTGATCAATCATCACGGCATAAGGCATTATCCCGAAAGCCGGGGTTCAGGGCTTTACCCCGCTCCTGAACCCCGGGGTTCAGGACTCGGGACAGGCCTCATGGAAACCCCGAAGCCCCGGGGTTTCCAGGAATGTTGTTGAGAAGCGGTTTGTTGTTGTTTTTCTCGATCAGAAATATGTCACAAGCATTTTTTTTGTATGTATAATCTTTGAGAGCAAAAAGAAAGAAAGAAACACAACCATAATGGACAGACAGCTTGTCTGTCGCGTTCGTTGAAATGATTCCAGAGCCAACTGCGCTTATTGGAACCGGCTCTGCTATCTTGACTGACTTCAATATCGTCGACATCAATTATTTCCCAAGTTTGACCGGCAGGCTGATGTTCCGTTTCAGGTTCTTTCCACTTCATTCTGCTATCTAAGAGCCAAAGTAGACACTTCCGCCATGTGTACACTACGGGTGCTGGGTTTCGAAACATTTCCAAAGCTCGTTCGGAAATGTTTTGAAAGACGCACCCGCAGGGGGGGGGGACGTCCTGGACCTTGGTCCAGGTACATTTCGCAATGTGCTCCAAAGGGGATTCCGAAAATCTTTCGAAGACCTCTCGATAGTTGTTCGAAATACTTTCGAAAAAGTTGCGGGATGCCATGATTTCAAAGTCAACTCCGAAGCTAGATTTCGAAATGATTCCGAAAGAGTTTTGAAAGATTTTTGTCATGATCAGGGGTGTTGTTGAAATTGTAGAACTTAAGCGCGCAAAAGGTGGAGGGCCAAAAAATGAGGAACTTATTTTTGGGAACGGTTCACGGAAAAAGAGTGTAAGAACCGATGATTTTATTCCTTGTAGCTAGCCTGTTTTAAATAGACTAAATACAAAAGGTTGAAAATGTGGTTGAGAGAAATTGAATGAAAGATGATTTTGAATAAAAAAACTGAGAGAAGGAAAAATATGAGTTCATGGAAGAAATAACCGGACAAGTCTTCTCAGTCTCTTTTAGACAAGCTAGTAAAATTAATCACGACAAAACATACTCTCCATCACAAATGTTTAGAGTCGTTAATTCTAGACAATCAGATTTTAATGAATCAAATAATGAACTAGAAAAAGAAAGAAATCAATCAATAAGACTAGAGTTGTTAGATGAAAATTGCCATGAGGAGTTCTAATTAGACTACAAGTGAGCATAAGATTCAACACAAAAAACAGCTATGATTGACTATAGTTCAGTCTAGAACAAGATGATTTAAGAAAGGGAAAAGGTGGAAAAAAATGGGGAAAAGAGGGAGTGATTTGGGGAAGAGTAGCCAGAGAAGTTGAAAACTCAACAGGTGTTTTGAAATTTTTTTGAACATTTATGATGCCTGGAGTGGCAATTTGTAAATTGCACTTGGTCAAAAAGACCTCTTCCTCTCACTCGCTTGCTGATCCAACACTGTTTCACTGTAGCATACATATATGAACTTGTATTTCCGACTGAAGAATTACTTGAGTAACAACAATGAAACAAGACAAAAGCAAGTTTAGAGAGAGAGAACAAAACAACAGCAGATAGAAGATGACTAGATAAGACAATAGATAGCAGACGACAAGCATAAAACACACAAAAGTAAGCAACATGATGAGGAAACAAGCGCCGAGGAAAAAAGAAAAGAAGTGTATAAACAATCAAGCAAGTTTCGTTTAGATTGCTTGCTGGTGTGTTTGCTACTCGGCTGGGTCACTTACTGTTGGAGGATAGTTACGAAAAATAGAGAGGAGATGACTTTAAGTGGGGTTGAGTGTACTTAACCAAAATCACATTGAGGAGAGAGGAAGTCGTCAGAGGGGGAGAGGAGGGGATAATTCAGGATGAAGAAGCAAGAGGCGACCAACACACCTTGCTCAACAATCGAGTGCTTGAAATACCTTTTCAAAAAAAAATCACACGGTCTGGTTCCTCCAACCAAAAAAGTTTTGAAGCACTTTCAACACTCTTTCGAACAGGTTGGAGGAACCAAAGCATGGTTCGAAAGTTTTACAAAAGAATCACACCTCCCACCAAAAAACTTCCGGAATAATTTCCGAAGTGTTTTTTTAGAGTTCTGATCCGGCAATATCTGCATAAAACCCAGAATTTCACCGGATCAAAATCATAAGCGGAAGACTTCGAAATAGTTTCGAAATCTTTTTCACAACTTTTGTAAAAGTTTCGAACTTTTTACGAAAGCCGCTTCGAAATCACCAAGTCCATACATTTCGGACATTGTTTCGAAGCAAAACCTTCAAAGCACCCCCGTAGTGTACACATGGCTGGTAAAAAAAAGTAAAAAAAGTAAAAAACCCCGGGGTTCGTGCCTCGAGACAGCCCTCCAGCCCCGTCCCGAACCCCGGGATAATGCCTTATTGACACGGCACCACTTCTCCGCTTGTGCTTCCGGGGTGTTGCCTGTTTTTACATCACCAAAAGTTGGTTATCTAAACAACGCAAGTATTTAAATATGTATACCCTGCGCGGTACGACATAATGTGTTTCTCGAAAAGCTTGGACACAATTCACTTTTTTTTATCGCATTTCATGGATTTAGCTTTTTTATTTTATTAATTTCAAATCCGTTTCTGCCTGAGTTATCACATGGCTTTTGAGCCTCTTCCCGGCGCATGTGACGACCCAGTGCCCGGCCAGCCCCTCCGCTGAGGCAGAGGGGAGTGACCGATGCCCACGGTGGCCGGCTGAGTAGGGTCATAAACCGCTCCGGTTCAGAATATGAACTCAGTTTTTCGTTAGCTCTACTCCAAGAGCACCTAGAGGAGCAGGTTGGCTCCGGGGGTCGTTTTAACCCTGGGTGTTATCTGACAGGTGTCAAGACAAAACCCAAAGGACAAAATCAAAATATGGGATTTCTCAAATCAAAGCCGAATCGAAATCGGTCCAAGGTTTTCGAGAAACACAGTACGTGCATATGACCGGAAATGAGATGGACATGTACGATGACGACGAGAAAAGATCAACTGATCTGCTGATGAGCCAGCTTCTTCTCTTGCGTTTCTCTCTCATCATGAACCGACAAGAATTTGTTCACCGGCAGACCGGAAATCAAACAGGTATGAGGACAAGAGGAAATATCGACTGGTTGGCTGAGGATTGTTAAGATGATGATCCGGTTTCTTGGACTTCTGAGGCAGATCAGACATACCGGGCGAGGGCTAAAATGCCGTTGAGTGCGGAACTCGCCGAGTCATAAGACAGGTGCAAGCTGAACTCGCCGAGTTACCAGCGCTTGGTAAATTTACAAAAAAGGTAGTTTTTGTGGATGTAAGTTAACTTCCGGATGGTAGAGTGCCACCGTGTAAGAGCATATTCGATATGCTACTACTGAAAATAATCATATTTATTCATCGGCATCCATCCACAAGTCCGCGTTAATAGGACTGGACCCTACCAAACGACTCGGAGCTCATCAGTGGATCTCATTCAGGATGGGACTGCTTCCTCGAAAGACACTGGAATCGTGTGAGATGTTTTTCCGTCATCTGTTGTCTTGATCACTTGTGGTCTGTGCCTGCTAACTGACAGCATATTTGCGAGAACGTTCAAGCCAACAGAATCCGTACCTGCAATTTCTTATTCGCCACGTCCGACAGCGGCCTGTAATATTCTTTGGATTCCCATTCATTAGTTCGATCTCCCCCTTCGTTTGTGATTATTTTGTGGTAGTAGATCCTAACCTGACGCTCTTCATCTTCCTCTTTGTCAATTGTCTAGGTACCCTTCTCGTCGGTTCGGTAATGCTCTCGAGGCTAACACAAACCCGATACGATTACCAAGCTACTAGGGTTCAATCGCTCACTCATGCTGATAAGCTCAAGCTCGATCAAGACCAAGCCAATCGAAAGCCGTTCGATCTAAGGGAAGAGTACTTCAAACTCTCCCAACCCTCGGCACCACAAATCTCTGAAGTATCCCAGATCCCTAGTCTGTCAGACGAAAACAAAAAGCAACCCAAGTCGAAACGATTGAAAAATTGGGAAGAGTGGGATGGCGAACAGGTTAGGGTACAACGTCCCCTCGGCGCACCCGAATGGGGTGGAGTTGATCCTAAACAGCAATCACCCGAAATTGGGACTCGGCTCGTCTAATCATCATCAAAATGCTCAGTTATAGATCAATTTTCGATCTCATAAGAAACATCTTTTTTCACCATAGTCTATCAGTACGGCTTGAGTTATCTGACTGGAAAAATATCTAGTGTATCAATTTGCTTCTTTTCTGTCTCACTGCATGAGACTGAGTTCCCTAGCTTCCAAAGAAAAGCTACTATGATTGCAAATGTAGCTGTCCAACCAGAGGGCATGAATTCCATCACATGCTTATTCATTTGGAAAAGAACAAGAAATTAAACATCAACCCATGATTCAATTCAAGGCTTACAGCTTGTCATTCTACATGGTTAAGACCTTCAGATGATCACAAATTATACAATAAAGCACTGGGTTTTGACACCATGATAGAAAGTGATTCAAGGTTTCAACTATTTCATCCACATCTATGATCAATCAGGCCCAATCACATTGTAATTTGCCTTCAACTATAAAAACCCCTGGCAGTTTTGTTAGCTATTATTAGATTATAATATAAGTAGGGTTTGAGGGAAGCTGTACTGTCACAGTCAAGTGTATGTAAGTAGGGTTCAAGGGAGGCTGTACTGTCAAGTGTAAGTAGGGTTTGAGGGCAGCTGTACCACCAAGTTGAATTTTAGTGTATGAGCTTCCTTTGGAGTACTCTCATTGCTCTCAATTATGTGATGAATGGATTCAAATTCATGGAAAAATAATATCAAGAAAGCCAATGTACGACTTCCTTTCCAATTTAGACCCAAAACGTTTAGGTTTTTGAAGGGAAATCTGGCTTTTAAGGCTCTAAATCAAAACTGGGGCACCTGCAGATTCTGATGGCAAGTCCTCTCCAATAGACATCTTTCTGCTTCTGTTTCATGCAGCTATCTTCTAGATTTTGAGTCCATTTCTTACCTTTCTGTAGCCTCATAACACTTGGCCATCTCAAATGGTCATGCCCTCTCAGAGGAGGTATTTATAGGATGTTAGTGCTGACTTGACCAACATCCTATTTTTTTTCCTTGCTGTGTCCAAATGTGGGACAAAGAAAAACCCAGTGACTTCTTGACAAAAATAACACATTTGTTTGGATAATAGTACTTGGGAAAAGCAAATATCACCTATTTTTTTTGTGTCATGAAGGGCAGCAAATGAAACTTATACATAGTGGAATAAAAAATGGTATCAAATCAAAGTCCACCCCATGATTTGGTTTTCTTGATTTTTCACCTTTATTCTCCATTTTGCCAGTTTATGCAGTTATGAGGAAAAGATGCGGAGGTCATTCCAGTTTATTTTGTGATTTATTTAAGGTATTCAAAGTTGAAATGCATGAAATCATAACCGCATAAATCATAAGATCTTAAAACCTTGTTTGCAGGGGATCTTGGTAATCTGATTATGTAAGCTTTGGCTTTCCCAGCCAAAATGTTTTATGATTATATGATTTATGCACTCTATGATTTCATGCATTTCAACTTTGAATACCTTAATTGTCCATGTTTCAATGACCAGGAATTGTATATCTACGTTCTGAAATTATGATAGGGGATAAACACAGATGGGGAATTATCAATAGGGAATGAAAATCCAAGCTTGATTGGAGAAGGAGGCTGTGTTCAAGATGTGGGTCGGTCAAAATCCAAAATCATAGGGGAACAAAACATGTATGTAGAAGATGAGTATGGAATTTGTCCTAGGAGAAAGTCAATTAAAACGGAAAAAGAAACCATTGGCAGAAGATAGCACAAAAGATGAAAATATGAGAAGAATGCATCAGATGAAAGAAACTACAAAGAAAACCTGGTTGCTTGGTCCCTTGTATAATTGCAGCTGCAATCTTACAAGCATCCTCCTCCTATGACCATGGTGCAACGATTGCACGGGTGGGTCCATCTTTGATCACTTTCCGGGTGCAGAATTTTGGTGATTACTGTTCCTACGCGTTAAGGTTTTGACGCTGGATCGACGACTGAAGGTTCTCGCCATTGGTTGTGCTCTCATAGTTTCGAGGCCCGCTTTCGAAGCTTTCATGTCCACACGCGTTGCAGAGCCCATTGCACCCCGCATTCCGTTGGCTTCGCTCCATAGTTTCTTCATTGATGCAGTCACTTGCTCTGCTTCGCGTAGACTACTTCCACTCTTCAAAAGCCTGAACGCGCTAATGAATCCGTCGACACCAAGATAGCCGCTGACATTAGTGAGGAAAACACAATACAATAGCAGCAGATTCATCATGGTTTGGACCTTCATCTTCAAATAATTTTTTGTCTTTCTGAAGTTCCGGAGTAAATTGCTGGCTTGCTAATCTACTCGTTATATGTGAGCTATGGAATCGGACGGACTTTTTTTTTTCTTGGACAAGAAAGTAGCCACTTGTTTAATAACTGTGATATCAGAAATCTTTTAAGGATTGTATAGGATTGATAAATAAGTGGTAGATCTCAACACAACGATCGTCTTGTCGGAGATTCTTTTAAATCAAGCAGTGGTCACCAAATTTAAGTAATGTGTGAATAGTCTTATAATGATAGGATGAAGGAAAGAAAGCGCCGTCACAGCCAGGTATTTATTTATGCAAACCTGAGACTACTCTCGAGCGGTCCCTGTGGGGTGGCTTCGGCTACATAGAAGTGAAACATAAGAAACTGGCTCTGACAGAGCCTATTACCGAGTCCGAGGATTCAAGAGGCGATGCTGTAATCGCTGGTTCGAAGAGCAATTACGAGTATATGCTCAACTTGCCCTTAACTCCTCAACAATAGGTTCAAAGCAAAGCAGCAACCCGATGGAACCTGAATTTCCGCCCGTTTTGGACTCCCTCGGCCAATGGTGGCTATACCAGTAGAGATCAATATGATCTAGATTCCAGAACATTTTGATATGACAAATTGCAATATTGCGTATGTAGGTAACCTTTAAACCGACGGCGCCGGAACGACCGCCAAGTCCGTTGATGAGGTCATCTGATCGGAACAAGCCATCCGATAGAAGTCGGCCGGGTGCTTAAAACAAGTCTCAACCGCTGCTTGCTCCTGGATGCCCTCACAGCCCGTCGCACAGCGTCACCCGCCGAGACAAAAAAAAAATACTTGGCAGGCATCGAGGCGGCCTCGCGGGGATGGCCTCTGCAAGAGCACTATGTCAGGCTTTCGGACGACGAGATCGGTAGTGGTAACTAGGATACTGTACTTGCAATGTTCTAATCCCTCCCGCTTGAATTAGATTTGCTTTTCCTCTGTGATGATGGTTCACTCGGAATCTTGCTTTCCTTTCGTCATCGCATTCAAACTATTATCATGTGTTCGTCATTCACTGTGCTGAACCCGAATAAGGATATCAATGCGAGACATGGAGCTGTCGAATCGTCAAAAAATAAAATACCAAAAAAAAATGTGTATGGTAACCACAGTATCAGGGTCCTTTTGTAACCGGTCATCCACTTGAGGAAACAAACGTTTTGCTGAGGGATGGATTCAGAACCTCGCCAGTTTAGTTAGATAATCTAGGGCAAGATGACAGAGGGCTTCAGCGAGCTCAAGAGAATAAGGAAACCTTTCACCGATGTGGATGATTTGATTCGTCGATTGATTGTACACGCATCGCTGGCCTCTTACTATGGTACACCGGGTGCTACTCATTGGTGCTTGCAGCGTGCGCGCGGGCTCCATAACGGGCTTGTAGCTCGCTGGAAATGCATCCAGCAGACGCTTGCAATCAACGCGGCTCTACAAGCTGCTTGGATGCAGTGAGCTGGTAGCGATTGGCTGCCTGAGGATGCTGTCGATGGCGTGGCGCTTTGGTTCCCTCGGCACAAACGTCACACCACAGTCATCACTTCCAGCTTGGGCTGGCTTTCGAGCTCGTTGAAGCGTCGGCTTTGCCACGATCAATCACGATTCACAGTGGTGTCGGCTAGGCCTCAGGCGAGCCGTCTTCTCGAGTCTCTTAAACAAGGAATAATCCCTTATACGATTCTTGCCTCTTTTCTTTTTTTTGTTTTGTTTTGAAAAGTTAGATCACAGTTCGTGTTCTTTTCCCAATAATAGGTATAGGTACTTCAGAGATTATTTTTTTCTTTTCCATTGTCTTAATAATCGACTTCGACTGCTATTATTTTTTCGGTGAGACAGACAAACTGCGTTTTTCAGCTAGACACTTATCATAAATATTAATGGACAGCCTACTCAAAACGCTGGGCCTGCGAGGTTCAGAGCTCAAACCACTTCAACTAATCAAGAAAATCTCGAGCGTTGGATGCAAATCGACATCGGGTAGTAATGCGACGAGTACGACGGCCGGCACGGTAACCCAAAGGAAAGGAAAAAAATCTCAGGAGATTAAAGAGCCTTTGGACTTCCACTCGGATTATGAAAAGTCGCAGACGGCCGAAAAAGGTCAACCGATAGGCACCCCGGCTTCGTCCTCGGAAACTCTACCCCATGAGGAGGACATCCGATCCGACAAAGTGTCCTCGGAAGATGAGTTGGCTATGATCCCGCTAACGGACGATACTGAATCTCCGATCATCACGGTGAGGTCTTTACTGGTTGGATTCCTCGTCGCAATCTTAGGAGCCGCGGTTACTCAGGTATGCATGAGTCCTCCGGATCGAACGTTTGGGTGGATATGGATAACTAATTCGAACTCTTATAAAACTTGATTACCATTATACATAGCTTTTCTTATTCAAACCTGTCCACATGCGTCTTCAACCTGCTTTCCTCCAAGTAAGTCTTTATTTTTTTAAAAATTCTCTGCCATAGAATTTTGTAGTGTCTTGGGTATTTTTGATCTGGGGGTGCTGATGCTATGAAAAAATATCAGATCACTGCGATGCTTTTGGGACGTGCAGCCGCGTTGATACCCGGGCCGAAGTGGTGGAATCCAGGATCATTCAGTATGGTAAACATCAGTTTCTTTCTTTTTTAGTGCAGAACTGTTTATTAATTGACGGGTCAGTTAGCTAAATTCTTGGATCCTTGCTTGCTGGCATTGTAGAAGGAAACCGTGTTCTCTTCACTGATAGCAACTTCGGCTAGTGTCGGCGCATACGCTATTGAAGTGAGTCGCCAACCAATTGGAGAAATGTCCCTTTATGAATCTCTCACTCACCGAATCCATATTCATTTGACAACAAAAAAAACAGTTGCTTGCAGCACAAGAGTTGTTCTTCGATCAAGTGACCAGCTTTGGAATGTCATTTGGAATTCTGTTGAGCTCTCAGTTAATTGGGTACGGCTGGGCAGGATTACTACAGCCAATTTTAGTCTATCCAACTCAAGTGTTTTATCCGTAAGTTATTTTCTTTACAGATCGGATACTAATAGATAACTGAAAAATAAATAAATAAACAGAGAGATCCTTCCATCCGTTTCGCTGTTTTATTCACTCTGTGGTGATGGCCCAGTTGCCAAGGACCAAATCAAATTCTTCAAGCGGGCATTCTTAGCCATGGGAATCTGTAAGAATAAATCTCCTTGAACAAGACAAAGAAACCAAGAAACATACTAATGTCGAATGCTTGTATGACCAAAAAAAAAAATAGATGAAATCTTTCCAGCTTACATTGCCCCAGCATTCCAAGCAATCAGTGTATTTTGTCTGACGCTGCCTAAGCATCAGTTGATCACCAATATCTTTGGTGGTGCTCAACCATTCGAAGGCTTAGGATTCCTCAACATCTCCGGGGATTGGGCTCTCGTTGGCGCCCATGGTCCACTCTATACTCCACTAACTGCACAGGTAAGTAAACGAGAATTGTCCTCCTTTGTTTTGTTGTATCTGATGCTTTAATTGACTAGAGTTATCTTCTGTCGTAACTAGGTCCATCACATCGTTGGAGTTCTGCTTTCCTTGTTTATTTTATCGTTTGTTTATACTAATTCTTGGTATGGTAAGTGACAGTTTGCTCCTTAAAATAAATGTGAGAGACGATAACAGAGCTAAGAAAGACCTGGTATGTTTGAATAGATGCCGGCATCAAACAAAGCTTTCCGTTCATGTCTGTCTCCTTACTCTCATCGAATGGGACGACCTATCCAATCAAGACCGTCATCAATGAAAACGGCTCACCAAATGAAGATGTCATCCAAGAGATCGGCATCCCATTCTTCACCTCGACCTATGTCGTCGTTCAGATCATCGCCTCATTAGCCATGACCTCCGCTATCACTCATGTGCTTCTAGAGAATTATCCACTGATCCTTGGAATCTTCAAGAAAAACCAGGAAAAAGTTCCGGTCGATCCTCACAGACTCGTATGCCAGAAATATAAGGACTTTCCAAAGTGGTAGGTTAATCGAATATCTGCCGATCGAATTGCGAAACTCATAGATGCTTACCCATGATAATTTATTCATTTAGGGCATTTGGCTTGATTTTGATTTCATCGATTGCATTGGCCATAGGTCTCTCATCCTTGAGTGGTTCTGGACTTCCACCACTTGGGATGGTCTTTGCAATATTCTTATCGAGTATCTTGACGTCAGTCCATTTAAATCAAATCCCCCTTGAAGTTGAACTGAAACAAAATGGGTCAAAATTGTTGGATCTGAATGAACAGGTTGGCGGTAGGATTTTTAAATGCGATCACTGGTTTCCATTTACATGTATCAGGAGTAGTCCAGATGTTTGGAGGACTACTATTCCCTGGGAACGCCTTTGGGAACATGTGGTTTACGACCTATGGTGCCTCGACGGTCAATCAATCGATGAACATGCTCAAGGATCTCAAACTTGGCCAATACATGCATCTTCCTCAGACCTTTGTCGTGCTTGCACAGATGATCGGTACTATTATCGGAATCTTCGTCAACTATGGGGTCATGAAGACTATCATCCATAGTCAGCGTGAAATCCTTCTAACCTCTGGAGGAGATGGTGTCTTCTCTGGTGTTGCGATCACCTCTTTTCAGTCATCAGCTGTCAGGTAAGGCCAACCTTCTTTTCTAATTACCATCTTGTTTGCTATAATATTCATGACCGTGATCATTTTTAGCTGGGGAGCTTTTGCCAAAAGGATGTTCCTTGCAGACGAAAAATACGTGAGTCGATGATGACATCCCAAAAGTCTGATATGGTAATTCGACAGCACAACTGAACCTTTCTCGTGGGTTAAATTAGGGAGCTATTCCATTGGCATTGGTCGTCGGTCTCTTCCTTCCGATCCCATTCTTCGTCTTACATCGATTCTGGCCCCGATATAACCTTAACTTGATCAATATACCCCTTCTGGCGGGTTCAATAGCCTCAGGATATTCAGGTAAGATACAAGTTTATAATTAAGAAAGAGGATAAATTGGTTGCTGACTTCTAATCATTATGATCATGATTTGATCTGATTTAGTTGCTACGGCTGGCAGGTTTTTGAATATTCTTATCGGACTGCTTTCTCAGTTTTGGGCTAGAAGATATAGACCTCGATGGTAAGAGAAATCAGATCCTCCAATCATTAGCAAGACGATCAGAGCTGATTAATGGGTCTTATTTTAAAAATAGGTTCATGAAGTATAATTACGTGCTCTCGGCTGCCTTGGATGGTGGTGCTCAAATCATGATGTTATTTCTTTCGATGGTTTTCCAAGGAGGGGATGGAAGAAAGGTGCCATTTCCAATGTAAGTGATCAATGTTAATATCCATCAGGATCAACCAAGAACTGACTTGAGAAATCACTCCAGATATTTCCTTAATCCAGATCCATCGGGTCCCAAGGATTACTGTTATATGGCCCCTAAAGTCCCGCTTGCTGAATAGGCCCCTGCTTTTGAAATGCATTGTTATTTATGATTGAGCTGGTGATTTCCTTGTGACCATTACTTGCAAAATATGTAATGACCATCCTTTATGTTGTAGATATATTTGTATTGATTTGGAGCAGGAGAACATCTTCAGATCATGTGATATGTGTACTTTACTATTTAAATACATGCAAAACATTTAATATTATTATACCATCAAACAAAATGACGTCATGATCCTAGTTGGTACTCCTTCGTGAAGGTTGATGGTCAACAAGGGACAACTGACCATTAACCATCAAGAATAATAACATGGAAGACTTCAACCAACCTGCAATCGGATACGAACAACCACAGGAATCAATACTAGAAGAACTAGACTCACTCAGACAGTCAAACAAACTGATCGAAGTAAGTAAATTAATAACCGACTGCCAAGAGCAGAGAAAATACTGACACAGAACAAACAGTTTGACCCATATCCCCCCAGGAAATCACAACCAGAGTTATTCTCATTGGGAAGGGTACAGTTAAGCACACTCATCATCATCAACAATACGCATTGCAAGATACTGAACCAGTATTCCTCCAGGTTCTCACTCGAACAACCCTTACAGCTCCTACTCTGTAATGCCCACATCCTAGTCTTCCTCATCTCACCGAGCCTACCCACTCCAACCAGCCCACCACAACTAGTCAGGATCGATCTCAACGAGCCATCACTAGTGGATACCATCCCACTCCTCATCCCTTCACTCTTCCAAACCAATTATCAAAACAAGCAACCTCCAACCTCAATTTACCGCATCCACTGTGATCCAACCGGAAGGCATCTCATCATCTCTCTCGAGTCCGCTCAAAATTATTATGTCTCACTCTCACCAGCTTCGATCAACCAACAACGTGCGGCCACTCAGCACTCCATCAGAAGAGCCACCCAAGCCTCGATCACTCCCGGCCCAGCCATCAGACTCTTGTCAAAGCTCAGAGGCTTACTCATCACGTCCGTCGGCTGGCATCACTCCAGCTTCAACGGAATCCCACAGAGCTCGACTCGCGAGATCATCCTTGCCACCTCCACCGGCGCACTCTTTGCCACCCTGCTTGTCGACCATCACAGTCAGGAAACCAATTCATCTGATCTATCGATCACCGCCGCATTCTCTCGGATCGATCGATCAACTGTCGATCGATACCTCAAACCAATCTACACCCTTCCCGACTCATCCGATGATCCGATCATCAGAGGCGTCTGGTGGGACGTCTGGTACCAGCACACCACTCAGAACAGGGTCATCAAACGGGCACTAGCCATCATCGTCACATCCGGTCGACTGTTCCAATTTGTGGAACAGGTTGGGATCCTCAAGAGTAGAAGAGATGACGATGCTAACGATGAAGTACTCGAACGTCTCTTTGGCTCCTATCAATCCAATCGAGTCTTACCAAGTTGGTTGATTTTTCTTTGTATTACTAAAACTTCAAACACTCTGTCTTTCTCATCCAAAACTCATCAGATGTCTCTGTCGATCACATTAGAATCTCTCGAGCTGCAAGCCACTCAGAACAGTCAACTGCATGTCTACAATCCGACATCCTCCAATCCACAGTATTCACCAAATCCACCGATCCTCTCTTGGATGACAGGCGCAGGGATATATTGCGGAGAGATTTTACATGGGAGTCAAGAGGCGGGAGATGGTGTGATCGGACCATCCGAACTCATCCCGTTCCCATTGCCTCAACATCCCATAGCCGGTTCCTCATCTTCACCAGGTCCAAACCCAAACACTCAGATCCATCACCTCCCGCTCGCCCTCTGTCCAACCGAATATCATATCGTCCTGCTGTTCCCCGATCGCATACAGATCGTCTGTCGACTCGATGGCCGAACTGTACACGAAGAAATTTTAGATCTGGTTGGGCTTGTTTCCCTCATCCTGAAATTAGACCAATTTTTTTTCTAATTCTAACATTACGTTTGTATTCTTAAAAAGAAACCGGGTGAAAGAATTAGAGCTATTACCACGGACTCGGTCGATCAGACTTATTGGCTGTATTCAGAAGAATCTATCTTCGAATTGATTGTTAAAAACGAAGGCCGAGATATTTGGAAAGTCTATCTAGCCAGAAAGGATTTCGAGAAGGCATTAAGTCATGTAGATGTAGGTACAAAGATATTGGCTTCTCAAGAATTCTATGCCAGTGGGAAGCTCATTCCTTCGTAATTGGCCATTGATATGGCGGTGGTGGATCTAGATGGCGATTGACCGCGACAAAATCTTAGTCAGCCAGGCCGACCACTATCTCGAAACCGGCAAATATATCTCCGCCGCTCAGATCTATGCTCAGTGTTCGAAGCCTTTCGAGGAGGTCGTTTTGGGCTTTATCGATCGCGGCGAACGAGACGCTCTTCGATATTATCTCATCAGTCGTCTCGAGCGTCTTAAACGGCAGGTTTGACACTCTTTTCTTCGCTCTCCACTCTATCCTGGTCTTCAAGCAGATCCTAACTAGCATGAAAATCTCATTCTTAGGATTTGACTCAGCGGATGATGTTGGCTACTTGGTTGACAGAAATCTATTTGGCTAAGATCAATGAATTGGAGGATTTGGTGGGCGCGGATCCTTCAGCTGGTGATGAGACTGCCAATATCGTTGCCGAGCAACAGTTGATCGAAGACGAGCTACAACAGTTCTTGAGGACCTACAAAGTTGAGTTCAAACGATGTCATTAGCAGGCTTGGTTTAGAGACTGACATGGCTTCCGTTTAGGCTGATCTAGACCAGCGTACAACCTTTGATCTTATCACTAGTCATGGTAGGAAAGACGTGATGATCTACTATGCGAATCTGGTCGGTGACCATCAGCGCATCATCCGACATTATATCCTGGAAGAAGATTGGAAGAAAGCGATCGACAGCCTCAATCGACAGTCTGATCTCGAGCTGTATTACAAATTCGCACCCGTCCTTGTCAGCCATGATGCACGTGCAGCTACCACCGCTTTCATGCGCCAACCCAAATTGGATGTCAAACGACTCATTCCAGCCCTGATTCCTCCTCGCTCATCTGCCAAGCGAAGGAAAAGTGCTAGTAATGATGAGAACTCAGAGATCGTGATCGAATACTTGAAATTTGTCATTTCGAGACTCAACAACTCTGATGCGCCAGTCCATAACGCTCTTTTAACGCTCTATGCCACACAACAGCAGGCTGATGAAGCATCGCTCTTAAGGTTCCTAGCTACCACGCCTGATAACCCGCTGACTGGGAAGCCATACTACGATTTGGACTACGCACTTCGAATCTGTAAGGTCAATAATAAGTTGCAGTCCTGTGGATTGATTTATAGCAAGATGGGGTTATACGAGAGTAGTGTGGACCTGGCCCTTCGGACGGGAGACCTGGAGCTGGCGAAGATCAATGCAGAGAAGGCGGAGGATGATAGGTTACTACGGAAGAAGCTATGGTTGAAGATTGCGGAATATGTGGTCCATCATCAGAAGGATATCAAGGCGGCGATGGAGTTCCTGGAGTCGACCGAACTGTTAAAGATTGAGGACATCCTGCCGTTCTTCCCGGACTTTGTGGTGATAGATGAGTTCAAAGAAGCGATATGCAACGCCTTGGAGAGCTATTCGAGTAGCATCCAGAAGCTGAAGGACGATATGGAAGAGTCGAACCGGACGACTCAACTGATCGAGGAAGATCTCGCGAAGCTTTCGAGTCGGTTCCTGGTCATTAACCAGGCCGACGAGTGTTGTGCCTGCCAACAACGGCTGTTGACGCGCCAGTTCTATCTCTTCCCCTGTCAGCACTCCTTCCATGCGGACTGTTTGATCAAGGAAGCCATGGAGCATATGCCTCCGTACCAACTACGACGGATGCTCGCACTCCAGACTAAGCTCGGCTCGCATCAGTCCAACCATTTAGAGCCTGGCCCCGTCCGGATATCCGATAAAACGATCCTCACTACCAGCATTCTCTCCGACTCTAAGAAACTCGCACTCGCGAGCGTCCATGGCTTGGACAACGTGCGTAAGATGATCATCCCTGATGCCCTCGTCGGGCTTATCGGTGGAGGTGTCGGCGTCTTTGGCTCCGGGGTAGGCGCGTTAGGCGGAGTGTTACCAATCTCTAAAGTCACCAAATTCACTCGATCTGCATCTGCATCTGCCTCTAATACTACTCCTCCTACCAATCCAAGTACTCATACTAATACTATGACACATCTTGGTGAAAATTCGATGAATTCATCTCTGATTAAAAAACAAGCCACTCCCTTTACCACGCGGATCGCCGGCCTTGGTTCTTCTTCTTCTCCTAATCATAAATATCTTGATAAGAATTCTTCTGGTTCTGCTTCGGTTGAACTCGAGAAACTTAAAAACGAATTGGATCTTCTGATCGCTTCTAATTGTCCGCTCTGTGTTGGCTCTATCAATTCTATTCATCTGCCATTTGTTAAAGAAGGCGAAATCGATATTTGATTATTTTTCGCTCTCTTCTCCTTTTTTTTTTTGGATGATTTGCAATTAAGAAAACACTGTTCTTGTTTTCGTTATTATTAGCGGGGTTCACGATAGCGTTTTTCGCTTCTCGCACCCGTAATTTTTTTTTCTTGCTCGCGCATTGCTGATGTCAATTTTCCCAGCGAAAATTTTAAGTTCTGCGCTAAATTTTAAGCCTGCAGCAGTGCTGCGGTTTCTCGCGCGAGAAGAAATCACTTCTTGCGAGAAGCTATCGTGAACCCCGCTATTATTCTATGTCGAGAATGATCTATGGGGGCTTACTGTCTTGCTTGAGCTATGGTATTTTAACATTCAAAGAATTATCATCGATGGTTTATATGTAATCTTTTTTTTTGTGAAAGTCGTGTGATCATCAAGAAGTAGGTAGCAAAACAGTTCACAACAGCATAACCAGATGCATTGTTTCTTGAAGAAAAAAGACGTGACAGAGAAAGTTACTCTAACGATGGTTCTCCCAGTCTTTCTCTTGAGATAATCCCAATTTGGGTGATGACCTCACGGGCAATTCAACTTGTCGTCATTTCTCTCATGCTCGTATCCATCCACAAGTTTGATCTTAGGATTTGCTCATCTTCTTTCTTACCAGATCGCTCTTGGATAACTTGGCGGCTGAATGAGTCATCTTTGGGGTTGTTTTTATTCAATCCTAATTATTCCAATAGATAAATAGGAAGATGATCAGTCCAGCATACATAACTCTTCATCCCATCTTTTCACTTAATTACATTCATCATACAGGAAGTAACCCTCGCTTTTCTTTTCCAACAGAGCCTCCTGACTTTCTACTTCCCTGCCTATTTCGTTGATTCTACGCACCTTGGCCGCCTCACGTTCCCTGTAGTTTACGTTTAACAGTCATTCGCAAAATCGTTCGAAATTTCCCTCATACGTCGGAATGATGCACTGGTTCGATTTAACAGTCGGGTTTCTTGCTATGATATCTGGAGCTATCGGGTTTCAGTGCGGCGATGGGAACTCGATCCACCCTCACAAGATGTGTTTCTCGGTCGACGGCAAATCGGGAGATTGCTATAGTTGAGTCTCTGGAGTGGATTCCTGTTTCTTGATAATAAAAAAAAACAAAAATGTCCGAGCCAGTTGACCAACAAGAAACACGCCTTGGTTTGCCACTTTGATCGATTCTCAGTCCGTGAGCTTTCCCAAGCGCATCCTATCTGCGACTCTTCTTCGGTCTCCTATTGCTGTCGCTTTCCGGCAACCGGGGTGCCTAGTGATGTAAACAGCATTAACTGCTTTTGGGCTCATGATCTCAATTGGTCTGCGTATATGCAGGAATTGTCGTTAACATCTTCTCTTTCCCTCTTCCCTTCTCAGAACAAGTGCACCGAGTATAGCCAATGGCTCGGCGATTTCTGTAGAACCCCTTGAGTCTATGCAATCCCTCTAAAGTTAGGCCCAAGGGGGGGGGGGGGGGGACGTTTCACAGCAACGTCGGGGCCATGGCTGTTTTTGGAATACACCAGCATTGGCACGTTGTTGACTTTGGTACAAAGAAATTGTAGACGGCTTTTGCAAGAGTGTCAAGCCTCTTGGCTCTATGTTCTATGTTGGATTGGTAGCATGTCAGGATAGCTGATTCACAGGCATTGGACATGTGCCCACACCAATTGCCTCACCAAAAGAGAGGCAATAAAGCCATACAACTCTCCCCCAAAAAAAAGGGTGTGTGGACCTGGCCTACTCATGGCATCATGACCAAATTTTGGCAGTCGTGCCATAGACAGGCAGGGCCAGGGATCGGGATGACTTCCTCCCAGCCAACAGGATTGCATATATATTGGAGTCAACTGCAATAAGCTGGACTGCAAAGATAAGTACAAACTGGGGAGAGATTATTCCTGAAGAAGGCTTCACCCATGAGGGCCCTCTGGGAACTGAAGATCTGTGCCAAGCTCGACAAGAAGTTGCACCTTACAGTAGCCACTTTCTGTGGATCAATTCTCTGCGCGGCCAACCGTTGCCAGCCAGCAGCTCAATCCTCCCGAAGTTGAACCCATCCAGCGGGTTCTCACCAGGGAAGATCTCTTCACGGCATGTATTTATGTACAAAGGTAGAGCCGTCCAGGCCGAAGTTCGAACAGTGGGTCAAGGAAAAGCTCCGGAAGGTCATCAATCATGCTCATCATCATTCTTCCAGACTTTCTGATAGGAGCTGATATATGGACACTGATAGTATACCCCCATTTGGAGCTTTGTGTCTCGCTGACGATTTCAGTTATTGCCCATTCTCCCATGCCCGTATCCCATTCACAAGTTTGATCTTACGATGTTCTCATCTTACAAGACCTGCCTTGGCCCTTGGATCAATTTTGCGGATGATGATTCCTCGTTGGGTTGTATTTAAAAATGCCAGATGGAATGTTCACCTTTCCGGCTCCTACATAGTCCAAGCTTCAATCCCGAATCCACTCGAATTCCAGTCATTTCTTTATCTTTCGAAACTCCCAACCTGTCCATAACTTTTCCTCCCCATCCGAATCATGCATTGCTTCCATCTGTTAACGCTCGCTTTCCTTGCTATCGTTGGGTCTCCTTCTGGGGCGAAGAATTTCGAGTGCAATGTAGTGGCTGGACTCTACCCGACTCCAATGTGTTTCTCGACGGTCATCCAGCCGGGCCAAGGTTACAAATGTTACCGTCAGTCCAGTGGTCCCATTTCCATTCCCTTAAAACGTTTTATGGATCAGTTGACCAACAGAGCACGCCTTGCACTACTAGTGAAAAAACCGCGGCGTGGGCGCCGCGGGTAACTTAAGAATATGGTTACTTTGAAAAATGATAATAGAAGCACTTACAGTGCTGTTACAATTCTTCCTTTGCATTTTATGATCACACTGAGAATGAAAAAATAAGAAATGCCTTACTGCTGATTCGAAGTATTGTCATGAGATTTGTGATACATGCATTTGATTTTGGCATGTGCATAATTCTGTATTGATAGATGGGATGCCGTGAGCATTAGTTGGACTTTGGATGAGTTGAAAAATTGAGTGTGTACTCATGTGTTTGTCTTTCGACATTCATCTTTTTTAATGACACTGCAGCAGAAAATTCTTGCTGATCACTGCTGTTGCCTGTTGACAATAGCCATTGATAAAATTGGGAATTCTCCCAAGATGATGTTTTTTTTGTTGTTGTTCTGTGGTCCAATATTTTTGTACACATAATGAAAACATCACAACATGCTACCTGTGCAGTGAACTTATCTTGCAAGGAGAATTCTTCCCATATGAATCTGATAAGTTGAGATTCAAATGAGTGATGCTACTTGCCATGAATTACCTCTTGTTGGTCTGCTGTAACTGCCTGAGAATGTCAAGGTTGACAACATCGAGTGTTGTGAGCAAGTCCAGATTGAGGTTGTGGAGAAAGATAGGGACCGCCATGTGTTGTCATTGACTGAGATGAGTTGATCGGGGGATGTGTGTCATCCTGCGCCAGCGGTGGGATGGGTAGATCAAATGGTGTTGATTTACTGATCATAAATTTGAGAAATATATTGAATGTTGGACTGAATGAGCAATGACATCGCTCGGGTTTCCTGAATTGATGAGGTGGGACCTCCGTGTTGCCATGTTGATGCGGATGATCAGATCATCAGTAGCATTGGATCGAGATGAGCATAGGGTACCGCGCGACGTTGGTTATCCTGCCTGGTGGGCTGGGAAATCCTTGCGAGCAGACTGGAACGCGGCCTACACCACCGGGCCACCCAAACGTTTACTCAACGGAGGGTCCAACGTTTGCCCAACCATGCACTTTGGCTTGGTGACCAACGTTGAGACTTGAGGTTAAGGTCGTCATGCAAAACCTGCATGGTTGGTCCAACCATCGGCCTACGAGCCCTCAACAACTGCTCAACCTTCCTCCGACTCAAGTCTCAGGTTGGTTGGGTACTTGGTTCCTCCAACCATGACCCTCTGAGTGGATCGGTGGTTGGAGGAACCTTGGCACATGGTTGATCCAACCTGGACTTGAGGTTGACCCAACGTATCGCGAGGCCAGCAAGGTCATCGATCCTCCCCTGCCTTATCCGCTCCGTCAAGCTGTGTGTTGTGCTTCGGATTTGATCCGTGAAAGATGTCTTTGACTCGGATAGAAGAATTCACCATGAGGTGGCGGATTCTTCTATCTTTTTAGATCGTTTTCCTTTTCACTTTTAGGTTATCATTACTAGGGGGTTGCTTGAGTTACATTGTACAATTACTGTTAACAAATCGATAGGTGCCTCTTCACAGAGGGCCAAGAACTACTATATAAGATGCAAATTGAGGAAGAGACTATGCTCGACAGGAGCCTTTTGATTGTACAGTAAGTTTGATCGGGAGAGAGGGGTAACTATCACATTTACTCTTGCTGCTCAAAGAACATTTCAGCTGCAGCGATGCTGACGTCCCACATTGCTGCCATGTTAAGGGTACTGGGATGCCTACCAATGTGAGTTCATGTAGTCCATCTTTTTTATGTATCGGTTGACACCTCCAAATCGGCCAATTCGAGAAACCACTGCTTATAACCCCAATTCATTCTCATTCTCAGAACAACTGCAAAGATTATAGCAACTGGATGGCCGGAAACTGTATCAATGCTTGAGAGCAAATCGTTCTGTTTGTATGGTTCGACTGTATTGTTCACGTTGTTGATTTTCATAAGTTGATCATTGAAATAGTTAATCGAACGCTTCACGATTGCCAGTCATCAGCAAATTTTTTAGGTCCCATCAGCCAATCATTGATACTTCAAAAACACACCCATTTTTGAATGTGTATGTAGTCCAGAGTCCCCCGGATTATTCCAGATCCATCCGATTTTCTTTTCTTTTTTTTCTTTTTTTTTTTTGCTATCAGCAACTTTTCACAAGGTGATCTCAGCCTTTGGAAGTGGCTATTGCCAAACTGGCTAATGGAACGGTTCTTGAAACCTCACCTCTATGTGATTATATGGTTGTATCGGTATCTTGTCGATTCATGTAGCTGATTGGAGTCCTAACCAACAAGTCTGTACGATAGCTTTACTAAGCTCGACTGCATTTTCAAAGATACATATTAAAATACGTTTGATGTAGCCGGGATGCCTGATGGCGGAATGTAGTACATTTCGGACAGCCACCTTAACAGCTGTCTTGTCTTGTTTTTGTCTGGGATGGGTAGCCTGGCCGAATTGATTCGATAGAGTAAACAGTAGGTTCGACTCCGAGCACGGTCCAACGAGAAACGGAGGTGCTATGTATGCATTAAATTAAATTAACACCATCTATATCCCCTCAGATTCTTCCTGTCCAGCTGGTCACCAGATATAAGATGACTTCTTGACCAACCGTTGAAGAAAAACAATGTTGGTAGTTGGACCGCCATATAATTACCTGAGGTCACTCAAATTACTGATGATAGAAACCATGAGATGCGGCCAAAACAAATATCTCTATGATTCCCTTATATTGATTGTTGTTATATACGATAATAAAAAAAAGATGAGTAAAAAGAAAAAAAGAAATCTAAACTTGTTAAGCCCACACGAAAAAAAAAGAAAAGAAAAATCGACAAGTCAAGGTGAAGAATATGTGTATAAAGGTCATATACAATGAAGCTATTCTACGGAGAAATTTAAACGTAACGTAAGAGGGAAACAAAAAGTTTGGTGTGTGGGTTTCTTCTTTTGTTTTGAGGTAAGATGGGAATCAACAAATAAGTGGAATGTGCGAAGAAAGCGAAAGAAAGAAAGCGAATGGACTGGGAGATATACAACAGAGAGAAGCCTAAGAGATTCAGCCGAGCGCCACCAAAGAACCGACCCATAAGAATTAATAATCCTGATCATCGAGCGAAGAGCGGCTTTGCAGGAAAGGGACTGCGGCAGAATCTGCAGCGCCCAATGGATTGTTCTTGTTGTTGTTATTGCTATTGTTATTGTTATGATTTCGAGGGGATGAATGGCTGGGTCTTCGCAGGAACTCTTCCTCTTCGTCGAGGTCTAGGAAGAACGAATGGGCATCGGTGTGTTGGATCGCGCCTTCTAAATCGATCGGTTGGATGGTCGTGAAGATGTTCTTCCCACTCCTGTATCTCCCAGAAAAAAAAATTATAATAAATCAGATCGGGGTAAATCGGCGTGAGTATCCCCCCCAGGAGAAGAAGATGAAGGGACTAGACCTTCGTAGCATGAGCGCTAGTCTGAAGAACTGGATCCCGTTCCGGATCACTAACAGAAACGTGTCAAAGACTTCCTCTTTCTTGGCTTTGCAGCCCTGCGAGAAGATGACCAAGACGGTGACTAGACAGAAGAGAGTGATCATCAGATCCAACCAATTGAACGGCGACTTCCAGAATTGCTAGATAGAATCCAATCGATTGGCAGAAAAGTGATTAAGTTTGGATTGTTTTCAGAGAGATTGCGATGGTCTTCGAGGGGCGTGTTGATCACTCACTTTTCCAAACGCTATTAGCCGGATCACGACTTCCAAGATCATCGCCAAGTTGACGATGATCTCGAGGATGTAGAAGGATAGGGTGGGGCATTCAGAGAGTAACGAAAGGATCACGGTTGTTAGCTATCCTTCAGATCGATTTTTTTTTGTGTTGTGACATTGTTTAATTAATTAATTTAAAAAAAAAAATCAAAGTATTTTTGATATAAAAAGGGAAGGATTATGTCAGTGTTATTAGACTTTAGGGTGTGTTCTTATAGAGAGAAGAAGAGAGACAGAAAGCTTACAGATAGGATGGCCATTGAAAGATACAGGTAGAGATATATCTGACTGAATACGAATCGGTTGGCGATGCCCTTGATCCATTCCTCACGAGAGAGATGATAATGGGACCTAGTAGAAGGACTTCCAATGTTTGTTTTTTTCAGTTGAGATTTCCTTAATGATGCAAAGAGAGAGAGAGAGAGAGATAAGGACATACAGTGAGTTTGTGTTTAGTCCCACCGAATCAGCATGTGGCCGAGAGTTGATTGGGTCCATGGGAGGATCGTGGCCAGCCGGGTGCTTGTTCCTGCGCTGATGGGCTGCTGAGGGTGTCCTTCTGTTGTTGTTGTTGTTGTGGATGGTTGGAGTGGTTCGTGGTGGGTTGTTGTTGTTGTTGTGCTGTTCATCTGGATGGCTCCAGCCCAACTGGCAGTGGGCCTTGCCCGTGGATGGCCGGAAGGGGGGTTCTTGCTGGAAATTCAGATTGAAGGAAAATCAAGACAACTTGCGATGATTACCTTCAATTTTTTAAAGTATGTATCCTGATTAAAACTAGAAAGTAGACAGCTCACTCGACCATGATCTTCCAATCGAAACTTTCATCATTTAAATAATCAAATAAATACAGTCCACTTTCCCAGGTGTTAAACCCCCTTCCGGGGTTACTGCCCCTCGGAGCTTTTCATGAACTGCAGCACTTCTTCCTGCTCATGAATCTGTCGTCTGCAACAAATATGTATCCAACACGAGCATTAATTTCACGAGTCCTTCAAGTTCTTGGAGTGCAAGATAGCTTGATATAACTGAGTTTGCACACTAACACTCATATCATTATAGGTTATACCGGATAGGCCTTTTGGTTCACATGAGAATATTTACAAAGTGATCCCAGATTCAGATTGCCTTAAGACTCAGGTGCAGATAAAAACCTCGCCGCTTGTTTGTCTAGCATACGGCCTTCAATTATTTGCTTTGGGGCTCAGCTGGGCAACCAACCCATACAGCAGTCATGGAAATTCAATTCCTTCCTGCAGTCAAGTGATAGAACGATCATCTCATAGAACAGTCCAGAACAACGTCCAGCTCAACGCTCTTTAGTGTAGCCAATCAAGGCGCGCGGTGCATGTGACGACTTGGGATGCTGAAGCTTCCCTGGGTGAGAATGGCTCCGGTTCCCAAACAATCGGGTAGAACCAGTGCAACCGATGAAGTGTGGACTGGATCATATATACCGGCAACAGATTTGTCTGTGGGCATCCACCGATCCGAAAGTATCCTTCGGTTGATACTGGCCTCTTCGGTCACAAATTGCTAGAAACCAGTTGTTGGGGACTTCAAGCTCGACGGACCTACTTGCGAAATTGAAAGAGCACCGGCAACGCTTAGAATAGCTCATCATCCCTCTCTGCAGTGTCCTGGTTTTCATTCGGATCCCATGACAGCCAACGAGCTCTTCTACCAAACAACTTGAATCTTGTTGGCAAGAATCACCTGGCCACGCCCCGTTGCCAAAGGTTTCTTGGCTTCATTGCCAGAATAAAAAAAAAAAAAATTAGTAGCACTACTTAACTCAGCTCAGCCTATCCCAAAGAAAAAAATAATACTCGTAAACATTTGATCACCAGATTCTTATAACAAGAAACCGAAAATATTAACGACTGGATCTACATAATTTCTTGACCAAGCTCAAGTCTTATATCTATATAAACGAAAAAATTCTAACGAGCTTAGAAATACGTATAATCAGACGAAATCCGTTTGCAATCAGCACCATTCCGCCATCAAAATAATCAAAGAAACTCTAGTCTAATATTTGTCCATCATGTATTCATCATCAAAGGTTTTGCTTATGTTGAGTGCTATCGTATCACTCGCCACTCAACTAGTCTCTGTCTCAGCCTTCGAACCAATGACCAATGAGGACCTAGAGGAGCGTCAACCCCATCATCTGCTGCAAGCCCGCCAGGCGCCAGCTCCCAAGCGAGAGGAGCCGAAGGCAGTCAATCCAGGGCAGCCACCCAAGCCGGATGACAAGTCGAACAATCCAGCCGAGGCCTCTGCTGGCAACCTTATCGGAATGCTCCTGCTCACCTCAGAGGCACTCGATGCGGTCACTCACATGGGCTCTAATGCGACGACCGTCAAATTGGGCAGCGAGGCTATCATCAAAATGCTCCCCGACTTGAAAGCTGGTCGGCAGAAAGTCTTGAAAGATGCTAACAAAAACGGGGTGGACGATGACCTTGAGAAGAAAATTTCGGCTGCTGCTGAGAGTATGAAGTAAGCATTTTCTAGTACTCTCTTGTAAATCCAGTTATTTTGTATTTTCATCTGACTCCAAAAAAAAAAAACTTCATTTATTCAATTCACAGTCAGATGCTCAAGGATATCAGCGCCAAACCGGAAGATGCCAAGTAGGTCACTAATACTATGATTTTTTAAAGCGGCCCACAACAGTTTCCCGGCTTCTGACGAATTTTGTTATCTGTTTTTTCGGTTGGATGTGCAGTGCGATCAAGGCGAAGTTCGCGAGCCTAGTGGACTCGTTCAACCAAGTGATTAATGGTAAGCATGATCTCCACCAATACGGGCCACGCTTATCTATCATGAACCAGAGTGTCCGTAGCAAAGACCTTCAATATCTGAGATCTGAGGGACATCTTTCTTTCGCAGTTTCCGAGGCGACTATCAATCTGGCTCTGCCCGCGAAGGCCGCCGAATTCGAGAAGGCTAAACTGGAAGGCGGGTTGAAGAAAGAAGAACAAGCGGCCGCCGCCGCCGGTGGTGGCAAACCTCCGGCTAAAAAGGAGGAACCCAAAGGCCAACCTCCTGCTAAAAAGGAGGACCCCAAAGGTCCAGCTCCCAAACCCTAATTATAAGAGCATCCAAATGTCAAAAGTAGTCCTTATTTCCTTCAAATATAATCGTTCCTCTTGTGGTTTTTTCTTTTCTTCTTTTTTTTTCTTTTTCTTTCCCCATACTTATATTTCTCTGAAGCTTATTTATCAACAGAAAAAATAATAATAATCTGAGTAAGCTTCAACCAAAAACAAATATTGATGATAATGTCAAGTAGTGTACAAATTCTTTTTTTTTGTTTCTTGCAGAATTTCCAGACTGGTTTCTGAATCCCAGTACATATCCAGATCCCATCTGACAGTCATTTGATTTCATTATAGGTACATATATAACATATGCAACAATCTAAAATCTACAGACACTCAGCTTTTCAGTAGAATAGTAATTAATTAGATGGCATGTGCAGTTGAAGTGCCAGAGATTGATATCCATCTGAGATGTTCTGGGACCCTGGAAAGCCCTTGAAAAGGGGGCTGTTTTTTTTCAAAAAAAAGTCTTGCAGGTTTTGGGAAAATGTGTACCTCTTGATTACTTGGAAAATTTGATACCTTTCCAAGAGTATGTATACTTGGACCACGAAAAAAACCCACGAAAGGTATAAGGTTTTCACCAATGAAATAATTGGTGGTTTGGACCTAGGGGAAAAATTTAAGATTTTATTGGTTTTGGAGCAGTTTTGCATACCTAAAATGAGTCCTTTCAAGAGGACCATCAACTAAAATTCTAATTTCAAACAATAACACACTGCTGCACTCTCATTGAATCAGATCACGAGAACCCTCTTTCTGCACATGCTTGAGCCCCCTTGCTTCAATGCTTTACACCACTCAATCTGTTCAAAGTGAGATGTTACAATGGTAAGCCACACCTCATGTTAACTGTTGCACATGCCTTGGGTAAGTTATACATTTATGTATAAGCTTCCTAGAAGTATGATTTGATAATGTTTGATCATGGATAGAACTTAGCTGTTCAATGAATGAACTTGAAATTTCCAAGCTTGAAACTTGTGATTCAAGAGAATATGACACCAATGATGTCATAACTCTATAAGATGATGGCAATCACCAACCATCAAACTCTTAGTGAGTGTTGAGGTTGTGATCAGAGAAAAGATGATATGATTGTTAACAATTCTATCTTCTTCTCTCCAAAAATCATCTTCAGTGCTCATCAAGTCTCTTTGAATCATACCAAACTTATTGATCATATCTTTCCGCCTACTACCAGTGGTTAAGAGCCTTTCCTTATTCATAAGGAAAGAGAATATTAGGAATAAAATATTTATCAATATTTTATGCTTTGTATAATATTGAGAAACTTTAAACAAATGTCAATTGGTGCTGCACAATTAGATTTACTAGATCTTGTGATCTAATTATTTTAAAGTAACTTTTCTGATAAAGATTTATCATCATAAAAAAGAAATAAAAAAATAAATTGAGAAACTGATCAAGTTAGTCTTTTGGTACGTTGCTCATTACCACTTGAACTCAACAAACTCTTCTCATTTTATTCTCAAATATATATTGTTATCCTCACAGACTTTTATTCTTCCTTCAGGTAATAACATAGTTTTTTATCTTTCTTTTATTCATACTTATAAAATTATCATATTGTATTTTTCTTTATAAATGTTTTACTTATAAGAAAAATGAAATTCAGTTTCCAAATTCTTTCATATTTCATATGATTAGACTATAGAAACTCAATTCACCTTTCCCAAACACAATTCACAGTAAAAAAAACCCCTGCAAAGTGGTAATTTGACTTCCAAGCTGTTTAGTCTTCATCTAAAATTGTGCTTTGTGCCTCTACCATAATTTTAATCTACACCGGGGAAAAATAGGCAAGATGCAGGAACAAAGAGGAGTAGAGATTTTCAAAGCCAGTTTGTGTGGGTCAATCAAAGCTTCATATTTTTCTAAATTCTCATGGTGTAATTTTTTACCCAGTGTGTATCATCTTGTTTCATGACTGTAGAGCCCGGAAAAGGGGAAATGCTGCATAAAAATAACAAAATTTTACTCTCACTTTGGCCAGATATGGTTCTTAATTGTTGGTCCAGGAGATACTTTTCTTAACAAAAAAAAATAAAACAAGTTTGTCTAGTTAAAACTTTCAGCCTTGAATTGGCTTTTAATATTGGAATATCAATGATCATCAGAGGGTCTCAGTCAATTTGAAGATTCAAAGTTAAACTTCCAAGTGCTACTGCTTTTATAGAAGTAATCTATGACAAGAGGTAACCCCCCCACACACACAGTAATGCCAGCCAATTGTATAAGATAGGTCTCCCCGGTAAATGTGTGACCCTTTGCAGCGGTGGGCCGCTACGCTACGCTACGCTTTTGGCCCCAAAAGCGTAGCGTAGCGGCGCTTTTTTTTCCTCAAAAAATTGTAGTGTTAGCTTATTTTTAGCGGTTTTTTGCTACGCTACGCTGCGCTACAGCGCTTTTAGCGGAAAAAGCGGAAAAAGCGGCCAAAAACCGCTAAAAAGCGCTGTAGCGCAGCGTAGTGGGGTTCAAGATGAGGTGACCACAGACAGTTGTTTTGCTGCTATTATTAGAGCTGTACTGATCCAGCATACACCTTGGATCAAATTTGATAGACACACCAGAGTTTCTCCAAAACATTTGTTATATGACAATCACATTGGGTGATCAAGAGTTGCGCTTGTTGATTAGTAGAAAGCTAAATACTCTTCTGATCTGAGCTGTGAATGTCACAAACTGACAAAGTTAACTCAACACAAAATCAGTGACTGATTGCTCCATAAATAATTTGTCAGATCTTTGGGATTATCAGTTACTAATGGATTAGATCACTGGTGTGTCACCATGTTTCAGCTTTGGAGCATCTGAATTTCAAGATCAAAACAGTTGAAGGGCAGCTCAAGTCCTAGCACAGGATGACACTCAGCAGGTGTGTTCATTTTGAGTGCAAGTCATCCAACAAGCAATTTTTTTTGGGTTGCTCTTTAATACGATTTATAAGATTGCTATTCTATACGCTTTATTACTTCATGATGCTGGAGGGGTGGATGCCATGAAAATATTTTACATCTTAAATTGACAGCGAGGGCACTGGATGCAATAGCTTTTATGATCTGGCTAACTTCCTTTTCTTCTTCTTTTTCTTCATACACAACAGAAGTTTGGGCTGGGCACAAGGCAAGGACAGGTGCGTATCGAGATGAGTCGTAAATTTCATTCAGAATAACTTGGCGGGAGTGTTGCTTCCTCTTCTCCTACTTCACGCACAGAGGCTTGAGCCGGGCCCAAGGCAAGGACAGGTGTGGCTTGAGATAAGCTGTGAATTAGGGGGTATCAAATATAACCAAATCCACCATTATTTAATTGACTGGTTTGAAAAAATTGACCCTTTTTTAAACATGTTGGTTATCCATTTAAACCCTTTTGGGGCCAATTCATGCAAAAAAAAGTTTATGGAAAAGTGACTAGTTTCTGGTGGTGGATTTCCAATATTTGATACCCCCTATTGCACTCAGAATAGATTGCTCAGAGGGCTGTTGGTTGATGCAAAGTTCCAGTGCAATTCCGTTGGCCATCAGGCTCTCAACTCGGGGTGATGCCCATGCCAAGCAAAACTGTCTGAGATCTCCACTGGGATGACGACAGACGTGTATGAGATGACCCAAGGACTCCAACTCACGAGTTCCGGCTTGATGTGATTTGATCATTTCCATCACTCTACCTTGGTAGGAAGATATCCTCATATTGCGGACCAGGTCTTGCAACACAGCCTCCTCGTCGTGACCAAGTACTTTGAATCAAAATGTGGCGAACCCAAGGACGTATCTTGGTACGCCACCGTACCACTCGAAAAGCCGGTCCATGAGCGTTGTGGGTAAGATTGCTTCATCAGGATAGAGAATGGATTTGCAAATTTGCATTTCCTCGTAACTCCAAGGTGACATGTACAATAGGCATGAATCCCGTCGCTTGAGTAAATGACGGTAATGCTCGCGCTCTGGAGAGGTGATGAGGAGAGTCCAGGTATTAAGATGAAGTGCCGGGGCATGACCATCCACGATGTATACGGTTTTGGAATTGCTTAGAGCCTTGAGAAGCTGAGGACTCTGAATATCTACCGGTTCAATGCCGCCTGATGTCATCAAAAAGCTCCTAGTAGGACCCTCTTGATGGAACGGCTCCCACACCACAGTTTTGTTCTTGCACGCAGCGATCCACATGTAGTAAGCGGAAAAAATGGTTTTTCCAATCCCAGAAGAACCGGCAACGACCCAGTTGTCGTAGGATTCACGCTCAAACCACTTGCAGAGCTCTTTGTAAATTGGGCGCACGAGGAAGCGGTCACCAAGGCGTTTGTTGCCGGTTTTTTCTTTGGCTTGAAGCCGAAGAATTTAATTGACACAGGTGACTGGATGACAAAAAAAGATAGCCCCTGCTTAGATGATTCCATGAGAAGCATCAGTAGTAATTTCACTTGAACAATCTCACCATGTTTCAGCTGGTGAGCATCTGAATCCCAAGATAAAACCAGTCGAGGAGCAAGTCCTACTCTAGTGCAGAATGTCACACAATAGGTGTGACTATTTTGATTGCAAGCCATCCAACAAGAAGTTTTGTTTTGCTGCTTTCTGATAAAATTGGAGAATGGTATTCTAAGCTTTCTGACTTGATGATGCTGGTGGAGTGATGCTATCAACGGATTGTACAGCTTGAATAGAAGGTGAGGGCACCGAGTGGAATAGATAGATTTCATGATTTAAGACCTTGGCTAACTTCCTCTTCTTCATGACACACAAAACCTCAAGCAGCGCATGAGACAAGGACAGGTGCTTATAATCAGGATTCGCCAGCCATTACCCTCATAAGCATTTTGCCGCAAGAGCTGCCCGAGCGAATTTCCTGCGCCATTACTTTCTCCATTACCGTCCGAGTTTGATGTGATGCCCATCGTAGATGAAACTGATCCAGATTTCCACTGGGATGACGTTGGATATGGATCACAAGATGCGGATGATCTCCGGAAATCGATGCGGCCTGAAGTGCTTGGAAAAATTCAAATGGTGAACTTTGGTCAAGAGCTAGTTTGACTTTGGCTACCATTTCTTGCAACACAGCCTCCTCGTTTCCATCAAGTGCTTTCAATCGAGCTGAGGCTAACTCGAGAACGTATCTTGGCACACCGCCGTACCAATCAAACAGCCGATCCATGAGCTTAGTAGGTAAGATTTCTTCATTTGGATAGAGAATGGCTTTGCAATGTTCCATTTCTTCCCAATCCCAAGGTCCCATGTACAAGATCGTGAAGCCCAGTTGTCTGAGTGGTCGGTGTAAATGCGGAGGGGTGAGGTGGAGAGTCCATGCACCGCACATGGGTAGAGCTTTGCCATCGATGATGTATACCGTTTCAGGATTGTTGAGAGCGTTGGCAAGGTCGGAAGTCTTATTATCTACCAGTTCAACACCGCCTGATGTCATCAAATAGCTCTTAAGAGGATTATTTTCTGGAAATCGGAAAGGCTCCCAAACCACCGTTTTTTTCTTGCACGCAGCGATCCACATGCAGTAAGCGGAAAAGATGGTTTTTCCGATCCCGGGAGTACCGGCAACGACCCATTTGTTGCATGAGCTCTTCTGCTCAAAATGCTCGCAGAGCTCTTTGTAAACTGGGCGCACGAGGAGGCGGTGACCCAGATCTTGTCTTCCGAGTACATACGTCGATTCTTTGAGCTCCAGATATTCCATCTCCCCGTCGACAACCAAAGTGGCCTCTGGTAGAGCCTTCCAGAAGCGTACAATGTCCTCTTCAACATTGGATTTGACTACCAATAACGGGACAAAATGCTTAATAATCAAGTATGGGGGGAGGGAGACAAGCGTTGCTGGCACGAGTGTTTGGACGCGAGAGCGGGATGGAAGCTTACCTTTGATGATAAGAGGAGTCTCCGGGAGGCCACAAGCGGAGAGTTGTTCGGCGTGTTCTGCAAGGCGTGAGTGTGAAGTGAGCGGCTCTGCGTGTTCAGCGGTATGCAGGGTGATATCCGAGGTGTCGTAGGCTCGCAGGGAACGCGAGAAGTCTTTTTTTGCGGCGTGGACGAGGTCATTAACAAACACAAGCCCATCGGTTTGAACATCAGAGAGATTGTTCTTGAATGATAGCCAGATTCTTGCAGGAACCATGATGAGAGCTTGCGCGTGGAGAGATTTAAGAGGGTGGGAGCTGTTGAAGTAGGGAAGAAAACGATCAACAAATGAAGAAAGAAAGGCAGATACATAGACAGAGATTTCACTCACCAGTATGATTGACAGTCAAGACGAGAAGCAGACACCTAAATCAGGAGAACAAGAGCAGAACTGAAGAGAACAAGGTCAGAATTGAGTGTGAACCACAGTGAAGTCAGTGACAAGTGCTCACGAAGATTGCGAGATGGCGGTCTTGCTCCGAGTGGGTGAGCAGCGAATGCGATCGACGGTCAACTGCTGGATAAACCACTTTCTGGTTGCCGCAGCCCACAGGGGGCTAACGAGCGCTAGGACTCGCCGCAGTCCTCAATCTTATGTGAATCCCGCTCCCCGAACCCCGCGAAACCATGGACCCCGGGGGCGGGGATGGACGGCAGCATGAATTATCCCAGCTGGGTCTTGCTGCCCAAAAATAATTGTCACAGAGCAAGCCACAACGATATTTCCAAATAATATCCTCAGGACAAACAAGCAGGAGATGTCTACCCAACCACTTCATACAGCGTGCACCCGGCAAACGAATCGCACTCCCA